ATTCCTTCTTCTTCCTGTCTCCCCAGTTCAAACCCAAGCGTGTGGGAGCAGGATTTCCAAAGAAATCCAGCTTGTTCCAGACAGCTTCAGAACTGCTGAAGATCCAGGAGGAGAGTGATGCAAAGCCTGTCAAAAATGACTGTCCAAATGGGCAAGACAACAGCAGCTACAGTCTGGACCTGGACACCAGAAACTCTGTTATCCAGAGGGAAGAAACTGCAACCAAAGCAGTGGATGAGAGTGGAGGGGTAGAACTACACCCAGAAAAGAAGGGGCAGCAACCCAGTCCAGACACAAAAAGTGCTCTTGGGGAGAGCCCTGCTAAGAAGTCCAAACGTAGCAAGAAGCAGCAAATGCTTGCAGAAGCAGCTAAAAAGGAATCACAGGATATTTCCAAATTCTTCTCCCTCCCCAAAGCTGGCTCTAAAGCCCAGAGCTGCAGTGTAGCAAAGGGAGATGGCTGTTCTGCAAGCACACTACCTCAGGTTTCTTCTCAAAGTGTGTGTCAAGAGAAATCAATGCCTCAGGAAAATAAAGATGGCTCTGGAGACCTGACTGGGCAGTTCCAGGAGGAGAATAAAGAACTGAGAGAAACAGAAGTAACACTGACTGAGAGAGGGGAAAATTCTAAGACCCAGCAGGCTGCTGAATGTGAATTCCTTGAGGAAGAAATGGATGTGAAGTCCAGGTAAAATCTTCACTTCTCTGCTCACTGTGTTGTCCAGAACCCCAGCAGCCCTGTCCTGGAAACCTGTCTGAGGTCTCTGGGTGAGTGAGGGAGACTCTTGCTTTACCATGAAGTCTCAGGGCCACTGACACTGAATGCAGAAATATTTTCACTGTGGAATGATTACAACTGCCTTCTCTCCACTCTTCCCAGTAGTGTTGCTGAAAATGTTGCAGAAACTGAGCTGCCTGTTGTGGGAGAAGGTGACAGTGGGAAACGGCCAGGATCAGATGAGGTAAGACTTCAATGAATGCTGATTTCCTCTCCTTCTTCTGCTCATCTTGTGCCAAATTTCTCTCTGAGAGTGACACTCCTGCTCTGAGAGTGTCATTTACCCGGGGAAGGCCCAGCTGCAGTTGCAGCAGAAAGGAGAGCCCCAGTTGTGTTGCATTCCTGGTGTTTCCCTGCTGCCCTCTGGGCTGTGCCAGCACCTTGGGCTTTGTTCCTCCTCTGTGCAACTCATGACTGTGCCCTTGCTGGTGACTTTCCTGGAATTAGTGTCCCCACCCCTGAGATCTGTCACTAACTATAATTAGGGAGCTGCTTTCTCAAGGCAAGGGCACAACCACAGGCCAGAGACACACAGGACCATTGGGAAGTGACCCCTGCTCACAGCCTGCCTTGCCATTAATTTTCTGCTTTTGCATTTGGCAGCTGAGACTGCCTGGCAGCTGTCTCTGCAACACTGCGCTCTCCTTTCTCTTTCAAACTGAGCAGGAGTGGGGCTTTCCTGGTGTGGCTGATTCTTCCTGAGGGGTGTATTCTGTTCTCAGCAGACATCCTGAGAAATCTTTCCAGTCAGTTTTCCTCTGTAGGATAGGGTCTAGCAATTAGCTGTCCCAATATGAGCACAGGGTAGTTCTAAATGTGATATTCTCTAAAGGGATTTTTTCCAAGTCCCTTTGTGTGTGAAGTAGTGTCTGCACAGCAGGTGAAAAGGAGTTACAGAGATTCCTGCTGGGTATTCACAGGAGGCAGAGGCTGCAGGATGCTGCAAAGATTTGTGTTCTTGGAAAGTGGTGGCTGTTTGGAAGGGCAGTGCTGCCACAGGAATTGGTGGGTTTGGTTTTCTGTCCCCTCTCCAGGATGTGGAAAGTCCTGCAAAAAAGCGGCTCCGGACAGTGACAAAATCTTCAATTCTGACCCATCCAGAGGGCAAAAGTGTTGGTCCAACAAAGAAGAAGGTGACTTTTGACTCAAACTTAGCACAGTGTGATAAAGAAGGAAGCAGCAAGACCATACAGCCAGTGACCAAAGGCATGTCCCTTAAAGAGACTGCAGACATCGTTGTCAAGTATTTGACCCCATTCTACAAGGGGGGCAAATTTGCTTCCAAGGTAGAGTATAGCTCAAGGCCCTCTTTAGCAGAAAGAGAATTCATCTTTCTAGGGATCTGGGGCTCTGTGAAGGCAGAGATGATTTGGATCACCTTTTATTTATGTGCTGTTTTAGTGACTCCAAGTGCAGCAACTCCCCTCTCCCACAAACGAGTTGGTGTCTGTTTGTTCCACACTTCCTTGTGGTTGTTCATATTTTCACATTAAACCCTGGCACGTTTTTAACTCCCACCTGTGAAGTAGGAACAGGTTCAGTGCTGGTGTTTTCTTGCTGTGCCCTGCAAGGCAAGATGTGTGTGCTTGGCCTTCTCCAGCACTGCAGGGCCAACTGTGTGTGTTCAGTCTAGGAGTGGTTTGTGCCAGTCTGTGCTAAGGGCAAGACAAACATGGGAACAGACTGGTGAGGTAACTGTGTCTGCTTTCTGCTCTTCCCCAATGCTGCAGGATCTCTTCAAGGGCTTTGCCAGGCACCTGTCTCACTTACTGACCCAGGAGCAGAGCCCTGCCCGCAAGACAGGTGTGTCTGGGGTTATTGCAATGCCACATTGCTTCATGGCTTTAGAGGGGCAGATGTCTTAAGTATCAACTCAAAAGATGGTGTTTCCTCTGTTGCAGTGAAGGAGGAAGCACAGAGACTCATCAAGGAGTTTTTCAAAACAAGGCTCAGGTGTGAGAGTGAGTCAGACTGGGAGGAGCTGCAGAGCTTGGAGAGCTGATCCCTGCTGCTTGTTGGCTCTTCCTTCCTGCAGCAGCACCACCAGGGGATGTGGAAGAACTCAGCCATGGAGGTCTCATGAGACTGCAGAAATGAGATTTATTTTTCTTTTCTCCACTGCATTTTTGCTCACTTGTGCCCTTAGTGACACACATTCAAGGGAACCAGTTTTTGTGAACTCATGGTGAGTTTCCCCAGTAAGTGGGGTGCTGAAACCCTCAAGGACCAAGAGGTGTGAAGTTGTACCTGCTGGCTTTGTTAGGGGCTGCTGCCTTGGATGTTCTGCACTCTACTACCTGCAGCAGTCTGGGCAGGGCTCAGACTTTCCAGTTGGGACTCTGCTTTGGGATGGCACCTTGCTTTCTAAATGGCTCCTCCCCTTGCTCCCCCTCTCCCTGTTTCTTATTTCAGTGTCACCAATATGCTACAAGTTCTCATGCTTTGCTCAGGGCTGCCAGTGACAAACTCAACATTTGAGTTTCTGGATGGAATATTTTTGTTTGAAGGGCAGGGGAGGAGCATTTTGTAATTACCATGGAGGCAGTGCTTGCTTTCTAAAGGAGGAGAAACTCAGATTCTTTTTCTTTTAATGTGAACTTCTTTGATTTTGTCCAATTCTGTCTGCCCTTTAATTTAAGTGGTGATACTCCTTCAGTATTAACCCCTGCAACACTTCCAGCCTTTGCTTGTAATCCCTAAAGCCATATTTGCTCCCTGTGCCTCACCAGAAGTCTGCAGTGCAGGGAGCAGTGCTGCTATTACAGCTGGGTAGGGCTCTGCTGTGACCCTCAAATTGACACTGTGGTACTTCTGCTGCTATGTTTATATGGAACCTGAACCTGACTCCCTGGTACAAGTCCTTCCTGTTGGATTTGTGTTGGGTTCAGCCTCTGTTCCTTACCTACAGGGGCTGGTGGCCTCAGGCTCCAGTGCTGCCAGAGGAATGTGCCAGAGGAATGTTCCTCAAAGGCTGCCCAGGGGTTGGGATCACTGCATTCCACAGATGTATTTTTAAGTGTTCTGAAGGGTATATGCAGGACTGACAATAAAGCAATGTTACAACTGCTGTGGATTGTTCCTGGAAGCTTTTTCTTACCACTCAGTCTTACAGACTGCTCAGAGGTTCATTAAGCAGCACTCAAAGAGAAGCACCTGCCAGGGAAGATGCTGTCGTTCCCACTGGCATCAGCTCATCAGCAAAAGTCAAACTGTGCATCAGGGCTTGCACTGAGCACTCTCAGATCTGTCCCCCTTCCCTGCCAACAGTGACAACATTTTCCTCAAGCTTTGCCCATTACCTGCAGTTAAGTTTTCCCAGGTTAGATGTACGATCTAGCATATCATACCTTCAGAACATCTCTGTGATTATTTTATTGCAATTTCCTAAAGGGCAGTTACTCCTCAGGTCATTAGGAGAGCTGTGGCAATAAAAATAAATTAAATATTTTTGTACAACCCAAAACACTTCAGTATAATACAAGTTCTGTTTGAAGATGCTTCCTCCATGGGCACAGAGCCATCATTGAAGTCTGACAGCTGCATGGCCATGACTGACTTCTTTATAGTAGAGGGAAGCATATGCATATAATTATGTCAGTGAGAAATTAATTAACAGTAAACTTCCTTACCATTGCAGCTCAATCTGTGCCCTAGCATATGTGTTAATTGTATGATTAACACTGATCTGCTTTTCAATTAGGATGCTTTCTACAAATTGCTTCACAAATCCTGCTAGAGGATCTCTGCATATCAATTCAGAGACAAATCTGGCTCCTGGAAAGCACCAGCAGCCCCTGCAGGCATTGCACAGCTCAGCTGGGCATTGGGATACACAAATCTCTAGCAAGCACCAGGCTTTGCTCGGGATAATTAATTCAAAACAGAAAGGAGGAGTTGCACAGTGCAAAGCTCGAAGGCAAGTGCTTGCTTTGGGTCAGCTGCTCTTTGTTGGAAGGGGCTGTGGTTTGGAGAGGCCCTTGGGGTTTGTTTAGCCACAGCTTGGATTGTTTCAAGGAAGGGCTTGAGGGCTGAATGGCAGGTCACGATGGTTACGGTCACTCCATCGACAAACGCTGTGGTGGCATTCTTAGAAAGCAGCTGGCTGAGGTCATGGGTGTCTGCTGGAAGAGTTCTCTCCCAAAGACAGGTCAGGGAGCACTGACCAAGTTCAGAGAAATGAAAACAGTGCTGTTTTCCTTGGCCATTCTCCTCGTTTTAGGCTTTAGGAGTGCAGCTCTGTTTTATCCAGGATGACAACAATCGTGTGGTACAGTTCTTTGGCCTGGCAAAACACAAACCAGCATCAATCACTCTTTGCCCAGAAAGAGCTGCTTCCCCTAATTAAATATCCCCAATAAATCACTTCCCATAATTAAATATCAGCCACATGCTGGGACCAAGCTGCACTTCAGAGGCTGGAAATACAGTGTCCCCTGTAGGAATGTGTCTTCTGTTGAGAGTGACAAAACTATCCTTTGTCCCCTAAAGAGGAAAGAAGCCCAGAAGGGTCTCTCCTCAATTGGGTAAAAAGACGTCTCATAGGCCTAGGGGACTTCACCTCAAACTTAAGGATAGCAAATTGAACAGGAGCCAAAAAGTCCTGCCTGGGCAATTTACTAGAAAAAGAAGAGAACAACAAAACTAATGGCTTTTGTGAGGTGTTTTGCCAGGAGCAAGAGTCCCCCTCCTCCTTTGGGACAGGACACCAGCACCATCACCATCACCAGCACCAGGAGCAGCAGCACCATCCCTCAGCAGAGGCTCAGCTGGGCAGGGAAGGGCAGGTTGGGAGGTGCCAGGAGGAGGCTGCAGGCCCAGGCTGATCTCACCTGTGACAGTTCCAGCCACAGGGCCCTGGGGCTCTCGGGGGAGCCGTAGTGGAGCTCCAGGCCGGGAGGGCCCCCGTCAGACATGGGCCTCAGGGTGCGCATCCTCTGCAGCTCCTTCAGGGGAACCACCCAGGACACCTCCTGCACAGGGAACAGCCATCTCAGGAGCAGTCCCCAAAGGGAAACCATCTCTGATTCTCACCACAAGTCACCTCAAGAGCCTGTGGAAAGCTGAAGGAAGGTCTGGGGCACAGGCTGGATACAGGGCAGCCCAGCACAGCCGTGGAACTCCCACAGGATTGGGACAGACAGGAATGTGTTCCACATTTAGTTTTGCTGTGGATTGTCCTTGTTAGCATGAACACTGGACCTACAAAAGAGCCCATGGCAATAATGCCTGTTGTACACTCTTGCTCTGGGCCAGTGCTGTTGTCAGAGTGGCTGTGACGTCCAGCCTCTTCCTTCACAAGTTCTTCTAAAGTCACAATTCATATCTGACAGACAAGTGGGATTGTCTGGCATACCTGGGTGGTGCCATCCACCACAATGATCTCCTCCTTGTTCACACCAAAGAAACAGGGCACAGGGATCGTTTCATCACTGATTCTCTCCACTGTGAAGATGGAGTAGCCAAAGAAAGGCAATTTCATCACGTGCTCTAGGAGAGAGCAGAAAGTGGCCTGAGGACAGCTGCTTTCAGCCAGCAATTTACTGCACCAGCCCGGGGTGGTCAAAGCTGCCAGTGTTCCCAAGATTTACTATATTAAAAAGTAATGTTGACAACTTCTGCCTCCCTCCCTGGCTTCTGAGACTCAATTCTCAGCGGCCTGAGTGGATGTCCTGTCCTTTTCTGACTGGAAAACAGACATGCAGCCAGAATATCAATTAAAACACAGCTTGTACAGAGCTCTGAAAATCCACTGCAGACCCCTACAAGAGATGGAATTTTACCATGATCACCATGCTTGGGAACAAGATCTAATCCACAGTGAGGAGCTGTCAGGGAATTCCATTCTCATGGCTCATTCCAGGCTCCAAGAATCATCAACAACCTTATGAATTGTCCCAAAAGTGCATTCAGAGCAGCTTCCAGAAGCTGAAACAGCATAGGAACTGAGGCAGATGTGGATGTCTCCTCACCTATGAATTGGACTTTTGCATCCTGTGGCTGGAGGGGCTGCCTTGTTCTCAGCAGTGTGGCCATGTGGCTGTGCAGAGCCTTGGGGCTGATGGAGGCCTGCAGGCTCTTGGGAGTGTATTCCTTCAGCTCTTCCCTGTGCCAAAAAACAGATTCTAATTCACCCTTGCCAGATAAAACCAAACATCAGCATGGGGATTAAGGGGAAGGAGGGGATGGGGCAACAATTTTCCATTGTATATCTGGGAATGAGGGTGAAGGGGGAGAGGAAGAGCACAGCAGGTGATGTCTGCTTTGGGTAAGGTGGAAGGAACCATCAGAGGCAGTGAGACCATCCTTGTCCACAGAGAATTCAGCTGTGCACCACTGACCAGGGCATGGAGAGAAATCCCTCCTTTCTGGAGGACAGCAGGAGCTCCTCAGTGCCCAGCAGGGTTATGCCATTTCCCTGCTGCTGGTGCTTTAAGGGGATCTGATGGAGGCATTACCTCAACTCCAAGTCAAAATGCATAAGGGAAGGAAGGAGTGGCAAAGTACAGCTTGGAACTGCAGGACTGAAAGTTTCCAGTACCCAGGGACAATTTTGTTCCCTTTGGGCATCTCACTACAGATTTCAGGTGTCCAGGGTTGAAACCTCTGACACTTGTGAGAGAGAACAAAGGAGGATTCACCCAAACCATGAGCTCATGTCCTTCCTTCTTGGTGTTACAAATCCATGGCAATCAAATGAAATGACCATGGCACTGTCATGACCCTCTGTGTTCTCCAGAACTGGACATTTCTTAATTATTCAGAGAGGACTTGCAGGTACCTGCCCCTAACCCCTGTGGTGCCTATGGCCATCACAGAGAGATCCCCTCTGCCACAGACATACCTGGAGGGAGCAGAGCTCTGCTGCTCCACTTTGGCCCAGTGCTGGAGCATTGCCAAAAGGCCCACCTGCATCTCCATTTCTTTATTCTGGTTCAGCAGGATCCTCCCATTCAGGTAATCCCACAGCACCTGAGGGACAGCACAGCAAAGAGGCCTTTGTTAAAGCTGCCAGAGGGTCCAGGCAAGTCTGGGCAGTGCCAGGCTGCACAGACCCACATCCTGCCTTGCTGATAATGCAAAACAAAGGCTCTCTGAGCTCAGGAAGAGTCTGGGGAGCTGCACAATGTGAGGAACAGCACTGCTCCAGGCTAAGGCCACAGGCACAGGCACAGAGCCCTCCTGGCATTCATAGCTTCAGTGCTCAGTCACTCCCAGAAACAGCACACAAAGCCCTCCTGCTTTTTCAGCCCCCTTGGGACATTCCTGTGGGCTGGGACACCACCTCTGTGCCTGCTAGGGAGGGTCCTGCTCTTGCTTACCTGTCCATAATGGACATCTGTGTAAACTTGGTTGTCAAAGTGCAGAGGTGTCCTCCAGATGAGCCTGCGTAAGGTCACAGTGACCAGCTTGTCCTCCAGCAGGTAATCATGGAGATACTCCTCCAGTTTTATTGGCCTCACCATTTTACCTACATGACACAGGGAGAGGTCATCCATCCTTCTTGGGGGAGAGGCTGGGACTGGAGCCTTCCTGCACACCTCAGTTCCACCCTGCCCTGAGACTCCAACCCTCAGCCATTCCAAAGGGACACAGAACCCCACACCTCTTTCAGGAACAAGCAACACAGCCCCCAAGGAGGATCAATCCTTAACCCTAATACAGAGGGAAACTGCTTAAGAGGACCCTCCCAGGAGGCAGCATGGGTGGAGGAACTATTCCAAGCAGGAGCTGTGATGTTCCTTTTTGCAGAGGCTGCTGGAAGAGAGAAGCTCCATGCTGGTCTCTACTTGCCGAGATTTTTGTCGTCAATCCTGACAGCAAAGAGAACAAAGTCCAGTGTTTCTTCCTGTTCACCTATTCCCATCTGCTCACAGATCTCCTGCAAGAGCTCCTTGGCCACCTGAAGCAAGGAGAGAAGGAAATGAATACCCTGACCAGGCAAGCTCAAGAGGAGGCAGACACATTCCTCCTTGTCAGATACGGGATTTCTCTGCTGTGGCTCAGAGTCCAGACCACTGAAGGAACTCCCAGCTCGAACTCACAGTGAATGTCCTGATCCTGGTGAGGTACTCCAGGCCTCCAGGCATCAGCACCACCAGCCGGCGGGCGCCGTGTCCCTTCTGCAGAGGACAGTGTCAGGCAGGCAGACGTGCAGGGTCCCATCAGCCCCACGTGTCTGTCCCTCTCCTTCCCCATCCCTGCTGCCACTGCTTGCCCACAGCACCTGCCTCCTCCCTGCCCACTCCATGGCCTGCACCTCCCAAGCTCCTTCCATGCACACGCTCCATTTCCTCTCCTGAAACACCAACTGCCCCTGTCACACTGCACGTGGCACCTCCAAAGCCTCTTCCCTGTCCTCCTTGCCAGCCCCCACCCCACTTCCCTGCCCCCCATACCAGCAGTGCCTCCATCTCCACAGGGAAAGGGAGGTGCCGGCGGCCCCCGTACAGGAAGTTTTTGCGCAGGTTGCTCTGGCAGATCTTGGCTATATCTGCAGGGAAAGGAGAAAGCTCCATGTGCTGAGCCAAACAGAGAACTAAACATGGTGTCCTGTGATGTTGGGTCATCCTGGCTGGGTTGAATTTAACCCCTTGTCTTAGGTTGCAAGATGTGCTGGGGGTGTGTATTCTATCACCATCTGTCAGAGCTGGGGCAGTTCTCTTCTGTTCCTTGGGAGTTTTCTTTATCACAACCAACCCTCCCTCCAGGACATCTCTGCTGTCCCTGGCCACTGAGTGCCCCTGCAGGGCTGATCCAATTCCAGCATCCCATGGGGAGATGCTGCATTGCCCAGGGCAGGAGCCAAGCATTCCTACCTGGATCCAACGTGAGCCTGGCACAGCACAGCAGCCTTTGCCCAGTGCATTGCCAGAGGAGCAGCTTCTGCTGCCCTGCATGGCCAGAGGGAGCCCAGGCCCATCTGCAGCAGCCCTGGAGCTGCAGAGGAAAACTCCCCCCTTGTGCAGGATCCCTGCTCCAGCAGAGCCACAGCTGGCACTGCAGGAGGGCTGAGCCCCCATGGGATGGGGCTGTGCCACCCCTGACACACAGGGGACAGGGACTGCTCTGACTCTGGCAGTGTGGGTTTGTATTACTGCATTTCTATTTTTTCCCTTGTAAAGGACTGTTATTCCTACTCCCTACTCCTATATCTTTGCCTGAGAGCCCTTTATTTTCAAAATTATAATAATTCAGAGGGAGGGGGTTTACATTTTCTATTTCAAGGGAGGCTCCTGCCTTCCTTAGCAGATACCTGTCTGTTCAAACCAAGACACCCCTGGTCACTGCTAGGAGAGCAAAGAGACTTGACCTCACCTCCCACCCTGCCAGGACACATCCAAACATGACAGTGTTGGGACAGAAGAATGACAGGATGGGGGGATTAGATCTGGAATATTTGCTTTACAGGACACAGTCTTACCATGGTGGGTGCTGGATGGATCACTGCTGGCCAACTGCAGGAACTTGGTGGCATAGGGCATGAGGATTTTGGAAGGCAGGAAGTACCCAGTGAGCAGGTTTAGGAGCAACCAGCCCCGCAGCTCGCTCTCCCTGTGGATCAGAAAGGACTGTTGGGCACCTTGGGACAAGACAATTCCTGCTCTGAGCACCTCAACGTCAGCCTGTGCCCTTCTGAACACCTCTGGCAGCTGGCAGAAAAGGAGGTGTCAGCCCTCGGTCAGAGGTTTCTTGTGCTGAGTAAGAGATTGATTCAGTTATTCCAACAGGAAGCAAAGAAAGGCAACAGTGAAGGCCACTCCGATGCCACTACTGCCACCTCCCAGGGCAGTGTGGGGCCAAGCCAGTCCTTGACTGGTGTTTATCAATTCCCCAAGGCTGGGAGGAGGAAATCAGGGCTCTGAGTACACCACGAGCAGGAGCCACCAGGAATGTTTACTGGTGCCCAGATAGATCAGCAGCCAGAAATATAAGGAAAAATATCTACTAAAGTGAAAATGCCAGACCCAGTGACTGGCAACATTTCCTGAGTGCTCAGCAGGAGCTTCAGCAGGAGCAGCTGGGGCCAACCCATCATGAGGGGACACCCTCCCCCCGGCCTGGTGTCCCTGCAGCAGATGGTTCCTCTCCAGCTGTGCACACACAGGAGCTGCCAGGGCTGGTACTCACTGCTGAGGGTTGTGGGTGACCTGTTTGATGACCTGGCAGTAGATCTCATCGTGCAAATTCTCCTTCTCCTTGCACAGCTGCAGCCAGAGAGGAGAAAACAGCATCAGAGAGGGGATGAGAGCATCAGAGACATCCCCAGGTCATCCTTGTGCCTTTCCTCTCCCAGCTTCTGAGCTCTGCCAGTTTGGCTTAAAGTTTGGGCTTTGCAGCCTCTGGTCTCCAGTGCTATTTAGGCTCAAAGGAGGAGAGAGCAGAGGCAGGTTGTGGTCTCATCCAGACAGTGATACCCAGGGAAACCATTTACATGCAAACCCTCCCCACGGTCTGTTTCATCTCCCTTCCTCATGTAGGAGGTGCCATTATGGCTCTCCCTGCTCTTTTCCTTCCCAGCCAAAGGTCTTGGCCCTCCATTCCCGTTGGTGCTTCTGCACTTTTCCCAGGGGAAGCTCACAAACCTGAAGAATTTCATAGATGCATTGGACCTCAGCCTGGTGCTTGTGTTTTGGCTGATCTCCCATGAACCTCATCAGTGCTGCAAAGCAAAGCCTGGCCTTTAGTCTGAGCAGGGGTGGTTCTGCCATGGGGCTGGCAGTGGGCAAGCAAATGTCCTGAAAACTTCTCTGCTGTTACAAGGCTTGCACTGGACAAGAGGATTCAGCCCAAAGCCCAGGCAGAGTGTTCTGGGACATTTGGCACTCAAGGCAAGGCCCCTTTTGCTGGAAGCTTTCAGCAAGCACACAGGGGATTATGAACTCAGAAATTCCTTGGAAGGGGCCCTCCTCACCCAGTGTCCCCTCCCACTGAGCCCCCCAATGTCTGTGTGTGCCCACCCTGACCACCCCACTCCCCCTCTGCAGTGCTGTGTCCCAGGGAGCTCCTTACTCTGGAAGTTCTTTACTGCCAGCTCATTCAGCTCGCTGTCGGAGTACCGGAGCAGAGACGCCTGGATTGGGACCTGCAGGGCCAGAACACGGGGACAGAGCAGGGCTGTGGGTCACACAGGGCTGTGCTCTGCAGGCTGCACCACACACTTGAGCTGCCAGGACCCCACAGGCAGCACCAAAGAGTGGGGGACACCTAAACTTGTCCAGAGACTGCAGCCAAGGACCCTTTCCTTGTTCATGGGGGGACAAAGCCAGAGGCAGGGCTGGAGCTGGGATCTGGCTGGGGCCAGGGGCAGAGGCTGAGCTCACCTTGGTGTGCCGCACCAGCTCAGCCACATTCTTCTTCTCAGCAGATGTCCCCTTCAGGCCCTGCCTAGACAGAGGAGAGGAAACATGTCCAAGAGAGTCCAAGAAACACCCCCAGAAAGAGCCTGGGGTTTGTCAGGCTACACAGGTCCTGTGTGGGAAGGAGCTCAGGCTACTCACAGGGACTGAGCCTCTCGGAAGTAGGCGGTGGCAAAGTCAGTCATGGTGTAATGGTCACCAGCGGGCACTAACATGGTGCTGGTGGCTTCTGGTGTCAGGCTGAGGACAGAACTCTGCAGGAACACCACCAAACCTACCCTAAAACATCAGCTGAGGAACTGCAGTGTGTATTCTCAGCTGCCAGGCCTCATGTGGGTGTGGTGCCTCCCCTCCAACACTGTGATGGATTTGAGTGTCTCATCTGCAAAGACTAAGCCCTCATCATCTCCCCTGTGCCCTCAGAGGTCAGACACTACCAGAGCCATGGATCCACCCTGGCAGCTCCCACTGAACCCAGCCATGTCCCCTGGGTGTCCCTCCCCAAGGACTGCTCACCTCCCTGCTGGTGTTCCTGCTCTCTGGGGGAGCTCTCGTGCTCTTCCTCTGCTCCCCCCGTCTGTCCATGCTGCTGCTGAGGTAGTCAATGGCAGGAGCCAGCTGCACCAGGCTGGTGGGGAAGAGACCACAGCGGCCACCCGTGGAGCCAAACTGCCACCCTGGAAAAGCAACAGAGAAAGGGTCAGAAACCAGGGCAGCTGCCAAGAGAAACAAGCAATGAAGCTCTCTGCTGGCAAAGGAGAGCATGAGACTCACCAGGTTTTCCTGCATCCTAAGGAAAAATATACATACACACACACACACACATATATATATATATAAATAAAACATATATTCCTATAACTGAGGCAACAGGGACAGGGCTTGTCTGGCAGAGCTGGAGGCTGATGATGCCAGCCCACCCTGTATTTCTCTGGTTCTGGGCACCATGGATCCAGCAGGCCCTTGGTCCTGGTCCTGCCAATCCCAACACTCCCCCTCACCTGGTTCCACGCCCTGCATGGGCAGCAGCTCGATGAGGTCACCCTTGTTGAAGCTGAGCAGGCTCTTGTCATCCACGATGTAGCTGCGCAGGGCCACCACATAGTTGGTGTCCTGGGGAAAGGCCATGGCCAGGTCAGATCTCATCCTAAGGATCATGGCACCCCATGGACAATCTCTGTTTCATCTGGAAAACCACCTTCATTCCCTACTGCCCTCCAGCTGCTGCCTCACCTGCCTCAGCTCCTGCATGAAGAGCTCCACCATGGCCTTGATGCACGGAGCCTTCGGAGAGTGCAGGATGAGCTGCTCTGTCTTCAGGGAGAACTCCAGGGAATTGCTGCCTTTCATCTCCACTGACAGTACCTCTGCAAAGCTGGGAACACAAGCCAGCATGCTCAGGCTCCTTCTGCCAGAGCTTGGGATGCAGAACGTGGGGATGGGAGCCCATTCCAAGGACTGGGAATGGAGACATGCCTCAACATTCTCCATTGTGGACTTCCTCCTGCTGCTCATGGCTTTCACCCTGAGGAGCTCCCTGTGATGGCACACGGAGCTGATTCACCCCCAGCTCTCACTTGTTGCAAGCAAAGCTCAAGGTAGGAAGGAAAAGAAAAAGCCAGACTCATTAAAAAGAGGGTCAGTGAGTCACAGCTGGCCTAGGATAGTCCTAGAGAGCACAGCACAGCTCAGAATCTTCAGCTGCTCCATTCAGTTTGCCTCCAACACCCTGCCAGACACAAGCTGTCCTCCTGCAGCAGCCAGAGCCCTTTTGCTCACCAGTAGCTGCGTAGGATCTTGAGGTGCTCAGGATGGTATCCAGCTGCTTTCTCCACCTTCAGCAGCCTCATGCCCCGGTGAGAAACACCCAGGAGCTGCACACCACTTCCCTTTTCACCCTGTAAGGGAAGTGCAGCACAGAGAACCAAAGGCTCCATCCCACCTGCACAGGTGGCACCAGGGAAAGGAGGTGTCACACAAAAGGTGTGAAACCCTGCAGGGTATGGAAGGTATAGAATCACTGCAGTGTGTCCAGGCAGGGGACAGAAAGAGTGAACTGGAGCCACAGCTAAAGCAAGCCCAGGGTCTGGTGAGAGAATCAAGCCTCACCTGAACTGGGAAAAGGCGGGAGAAATAGTTGGCCCAGTTGTCCCGAGCAGCCACTACAATCCTCTTCTTTATCCCCTCCTCCTGGATGGACTGGGCATTGCTGCCAACGCGGAACTCCACTGCAGGGATACAGAACAGTTACTTGTTTAGAAAGACAAAGGTGGCCAAGTCTCCCTCTTCCCAGGGATTCTTTCCCAGCAGTCCCTCTGTGCTCACAGCACAGCAAACTGTGGAAACCCAGGGCACTGGGAATATTTCTTTGTCTGCTCTGGGGTGCCCTGACCCCCAGGGGAGCACTGACTTTGACCCTCGTTCATGGAGAAAGTTTCCCAGACTTCAAGATAACTAGAATCCACAAAAGTGTGAAATAGAGAGTAGTGTAGGTGTATCACTTGGTGATAAATTTAGGTTTGGGGATTTTTAGTATGTTGTGGATGGAAGCAAGATGGAGGGCACAGGGTGTCATCCTGAGTTTCTTCTTCATGCTTCTTCCTCCTTCTTCTTCATGGGTTTGGGTGGCATTTTTTAATTGGGCAGAAAAATCCTCATTGTGGGCTCTGTGGGATCAGTTATTGGGTTAAAAGGGAAAATAATCCAGGTGTCAATTCTTAATTGGATAGTTTAGTCTTAAAAGACGTTGTACCAAGAGACTGTTGGCCATTTTGTGCCTTCTAATGAAAAGCTGCTGAACTCACAGTAATGAGACTGTTTTACTGATAAGAGATAATAAACACCTGAGTCCGAACATAAATTACTGTCTCAAGTGCCTTCAATCCAGACCCAGAAAAACCCAAAAAAGACCCAGACTGGTACCCCCACAGCAAACCACATGCAGAGGGGAAAGGACGCTTGCACCAGTCTACTACTGGTTTCCATCCCTCTCTCCATGAAGATCATGTCAGAGATGACAGTTGAAATTTGAAACAAATCAAAATCCTATTCTTGGCTTCAGTTTCTTCTCCCCACAAAAAACATTTCAGAACTAAGCTTTTCTGGCTCACAGAAATTTCAGGGCCATTTGGAATAAACAAACATTCCTACACTGCACTTTACAAGTGTGCTTTCCTGCTGCAGTGACAAACATTTCTCCTCTGCCCTTAGTACTGACTGAAAGGGTTGGAGGCCAGTTTTTCATTCCAGAGCAGAAGCTGGGATGGGCACAGAGGGGAAGGGGGGGTTAACCAGATGGGGCTGTTAATTACTCAGCAGATCTTTCATCTTGCGCTTCTCCTCCCTGGAGATCCGAAAGTTGGACTCGGAGAAGGTGTCACGGATGATCTGCAGAGCAAGGGAACAGAGAGGCTTCCATTGCAAAGGCCACACCTGGCTGTGCTGGAGCATCTGAGGCTGCTAAACTGAGTCTCAGAGAGGAGTGAACAGGGACTGGATGGATCTGGGGAAGAGACTTGCACTGCTGGGGATGGAGAAGTGAAGGTGATTCATGCAATGTAATTATGGAGTGTTTTGTCCCCAGAGACACAACTGGCCTTGAGCCACACTCCAGTGCTTACCTGTTCACACAGCAAGTTCAGACAGTAAGGGTGGCTGAAATTTTCTTTGGGGTAAAACACCTGCAAGAGGAGGGCAATAGTGGTGTTACAGATATTGCAGAAGCAGCTCCCAGGGATGTTTTGCAATCCATATGCCCTTCTGCCAGGGAGGAGTGAGTTCATCTCCAGGCACAGGCAGGAAGGAGACACTGAATGTAAACAGAAGGACCAGGAGTGAAGGACCAAAACCTCGCTGGTCAGGCAGCCCCGTCCCGTTTGTGTCTGTATATAAACTGCTGGCGCACAGTCAGACCAAGGGATGAACCCTGGTGAGTTTAGCACATTCTCCAATACTTGATTTTAAGCACATTTGTACTGTTTTAACAGGAAAGCACCAGGCAACAACAAATTCAGTTCTAGATGTCTCAGTGCTCTACAGAGGGAGGAAAGGACAGGTAGAGAAACTGAGACACAAGTGTCAGTAAGGCAGAGCAGGACCCGGATTCCCCATGACATGATCCCCTGCCTCCAACTCCTGTGTCTGGGATCCCAGAATTATCTTTGTGCTCATATCTTACACTGAGTGCCTGTGACCAAATAAACCCATTTTAACCAGAGATGGGATGAGCTCCCCCCCCAGCCAATCCTCAGCTCAGGAACTGAACCTCTTTGCGCAGAAAAATTTTCCAGGCAGGGTCGACATAGGAAAAGCTGACACTGGTGGTGAGCTTGTACAACTGGGTCTTGATCCCATCATCACCTGCCACTGTCACAGCAGAGTCTGTGTGGGGAGAAAAAGCAGTGAAGATGGGCTATGAGGGTTACAAGGTCCTTTCCACCCACCGAAGACCTGCCAGGAGAAAGGGGACAGTTCCTGATGGAATATTCCTGTCAGGGAATCTCCTGAAGGTCAGTGACCAGCTCATGTGAGCACAAACCAGTCATTCCCAGAATTTCTGGTAGCATTTACACTTCCACTGTCTAGCCACAAAGTTCATTGCTAAGAACAGAAACACTCCAGGCACGGGGAGCACTCAGCCTCCCACACGAAACACTCCCCCAGTGCTTGAGGTTGGAGACACAGGTGTCACTTTGTGTCATTATAAACAGGCTGCTAAAGCTTTCAGAGGGACATAAAAGTTCTCTCCTGAGCTTGGAGGCTTCAAGGTTCTGGTACAGGGCACCCAAAACGAGCACCAGATTCTCTCTCTGCAGATGTGTTAAAGACAGGCTCAGTCTGAAGGTGACTGCTTATGAGGTAGTAATGTCTTCATTTAAGCACTTCAAACTTTCAAAACTTCGGAGTTCATAGACAAATAATGTTGTAATTCCCATACTTCAGCTATTTCTATATCCCTATTCCAAAGCATGAAGAATTTTTTCAGGCTAATCCAGTTACTCTGATTTAGATTTCACAGGACTTCCTCAAGAATAATTTTTGAAGAGAGGAGGAGCTAACAGGGAAATCCTTTTATAGCAGGGAAGTTGCTGCAGGATGGAGTCCTTTAGTAATGTGTTTGACTGACTGTTCCTTGCAGCTTATGAAATGTGATGCTGATGAGAATTTTAAACAGCTTGAAATACCTTGGTACAGGTATCCAATGTATAAAATTAATTCAGGCTCACACTGAAATTCAGAGGCAAAACTAAGACTGAATAACACTTCCAAACTACTGCTGATAAGTATTAGCTCTACTTTTTTAAAATGGGCAGCATCCAAACACTCTTTATGTGTCCAAGGTCTCCCAGGCTCAGCCTCCCTCTGAGAAACGTTCCCTATTCCTCAGTCTGTCTCTAAGATCCCTCCAGAGGGAAAGGTGAAAGACCTGGCTTCCCATTGCTCCCTGGTCTAAAGTCCACCCACTAATTGCTCCTTTGATAATTATGCTGCAGGCAAACAATAAAAGTATTGTGGGCTGGACCTTGATAAAGCTGTAGCCCAAGGACCTTTCTATTTTTAGCTGCATTTTTCAGAAGGGAAGAGTTAAGAGCTGGGAAGTGCCACGCTGGTTTCTGGGCCAGGCTGGAACTGTGACATCTCTGATTGCTCAGAGATGAGATTGCAACACCTCCCTGGTGTCACACAGCTCAGTCCCTGCCACACTGCCTGGTGCCAGGACCTGTGCCATGACCCTCCTGGGCTGATTCCAGCCCCATCTCCTCCCTGCCCTGCTACAAATCCCACATGGGTGAAACCAATACTCACCCTTCCCCGGGGGCTCCTGCCTGTCTTGGTCCTCAGGTGTTGGTGAGGGAAGGGGGGGACCATGAGGGGTCTGGGCAGCTGAGGGGGCACCCTCTGGTTTGAAGATGGACAGGAGGGGCAGCTGCTTTTCCTTGATAGAGCTGGAAGCTGGGCCTGGCTTGGGCTTGACAGGTGGAGGTATTTTCTTCTCCTGTGGCACAGGAGATGGCTGCAAGACAAAAAAACCCCTTTGAGCCAGTCTTTTCCTGCATTCCTGGGCTCTGTCCTGACACTGCTGTTCTAAATGATCCTGGGGCAGCAGCCCACCCCAGGGGCAAGATCTGTGTGAACAGCCCACCACTGCCTTTAGATCAACACAAATTCTACAAAGAGATGATCAACCAAACCCAGAGGACCAAGTATTTGAGATCAAAGCCTCCAGTTTGGAAAGGAAGAAATGAGGCTAACAAGCCAAAGCCTTGGTGCCAAACACGGAGAACATGAGTTGCTTGCTTCCACATCAGCCTTTAGCATCTGACAATAGGAATTGCTGCTCCAGAGCCTTTTCTTCAAGACCTCAGATGACTTTACAGACTGGAACCAGTCTAGGGTGGGCAGGACTGTGGTGTGAGCTCCCAGCTATTTCACAACCCAACCAGAAATCACCTGGCTGCTACTGCAGCACCAGGGAGATCCCAGCCTGCTGGAAATGGGGCGGACAGGCTCTCTCTGCTGAGCTCCTGAAGTAACCAGAGAGCAAAGAACTCACGGATCGTTGAGGTGAGGGGTTCATCATTCCCAGCTTGGCCAGAGCCTCATTTTTGGGGTCGTTTTTCTTTATAAATGGCCTGGATACTCTCCTGCAAGAGAACATGGAACAGCATTAGGGGGTTTGGGCACAATGGAGCCACTGGCAGAGCTGAGATAGAGTGCCCCCATGTCCCTCCTGCCCACAGGGGGATCCCACACTCTCACCTGCTGGGCTGGATGGGCTGGGGCTCAGGGGCTGGTCTGCTCTGGTACATTTTGATGATGTTCCCAATCTCGTGGCTGGGTGCAGGACGCTTCTCAGGGCCTGAAGGCTTCACTACAGGTGGCTCCCTCTTTGGTTTTGGTGTCTCCTTTTTTGGCTTAGGCACAGGAGGTGGCAGAGGGGAAGCAGGAGCTGTTGGGGTGACAGCTTTAATCAAGAGACCAGCAAAGACACAGGAGAAATCCCTTTATCTCACTTGACCTTCCCTTCCTTTCCCTCTGATGCTGACTGGCATGGACATTCCTCTTTCCTCTCCTGTCAAGATGCAGAATCTCAGAAGAGTCAGATCCTTTCCTCCTCTCCCTAAATGCTGGCCTGATGTTCCTGGAAAGGTCTTCCTTGTCAACCTGCTTGAGTCTGCACTGCACAACATCTTACCTGGCTCTGGTTCAGGGACAGGCTTCTCTTCTTTCCTCTTCTCCAGCTCCTCTTTTTGACTCTTCTCCAGCTCCTCTTTTTTTTCCTCCTCCTCCTCTGTTGGCTGGGGTTTTGCTGGAGGAGTCCAGGTTTTGCTAGGTCTGACTTTCTTCACTCGGATGTGCTGCTCTCCTGCATAGAAAGGGGGACTTGAGCTAATCTAACCCACACCAAAACCTGGCACTGATGGCACAGTTCTCACTCTTGCCTCAGTCAGCTAAAACCTCTTTTCTAGAGTGAGGGAGAGTGTTCCAGTCACATGCCCAGAGATTTATAGAAAACTGCCCCCACTACAGCTCACAATCTGAATTGGAGCTAGCTGAACACGAACCCCAAACTCCTGCACACACATCACCAGCAGCTCCTGCAGGGATTAGCTGGATTCCAGACAGGGAGACAAGAACACCTAGACATGCCAGGAAGGTGTTTAGATGAGTGAAATCCCAGAGTAGCAGACACTCACCCATCTTCTGGAAGTACTCTCTCTTCTGCTGGAAGGTTTCCCGAGGACAATCATCATCCTCACTGCTGAAGAACTCCTCTTCCACATAGTCATAATCCTGCAGACAGTGCACAGCTTGTTTAGTTAGCACCAGCCAGCAGTACCTCTGCAGTGCCCTTCAGCTCAGGAGTGATTTTGTCTCAAACTGTTCTGATCTAGAACCTCTCCACATCCAGGAGTGTCCCAATAAGTCAGTTTCTAACACAAGGAACCCTCAGCCAAGCACAGAGAAGGGGGATTATGTTAGAGGCCCAAAACACCTTGCTGGATGATAAAGATCTCAGAGTAATTAATTCTCCTGTGGAAAAATTCAGCTTAGCTGGAAATGAATTGGCCAACCCTGCAGCCAAACCTCCACAGAGCAAAAGACACTGAGGTTTGATCCTTAGAGACTCAGCAAGCAGAGTTTGAAAGGTCTCAGTATCATCAGGAACCACAAATCTCTGCTCTCCTCTCTGCCAAACCATGGCCACACATGCATGGACACAGAGCAAACACCAAACACAAGTTCAAACCAAATCCACCACTGCTTGTTTCTCATACCAGCTCTTTTGCCTTAGCTGGTGGCTCTGGAGACCTTGATGGCTCTGCAGCAGCCTGGCTGCTGGGAGGCTTCTTGGGTTTTGGGAGAGTGGCTGGGGCTGAGGCTTGTGCTGGGCTGGAGACTCTTGGCCTGGAGTTCTCAAGAGACTTTTGCTGCTTCTGCAGCTCCTGCTGCTGCTGCTGCTGGGAAATGCTCATGGCTTGAAGAGTCATCTGCTGGGCCTGGGGAAGGAATTGCAATGTCCATGAGCTCTAGGCTGCACAAACCCAGCCATCAGTCACAGCCTGTCCTGTTTCTTCACTGTTAATCAATCCCAAAACATCCACACAGTGCATGGCAACTTTCCCAGTGCATGAACAAGGCATGCCCAGGGAATCTTCTCCCACCTGGCCAAGGATGCAGAGCTCCTAACACCCCCCAAAGGCTCAGCTGTCAGCTGGGACTGCCCTGCACTCACAGGGCTTTGCACAGAAAGCTGCAGACCTGCATCTGTAGCAAATCCCAGCTTAAAACCCCATGGGAATTACAGCTGAATCTCCTCAGGCCTGCTCCTGTCTCTGCACCTCACTCACTGATGGTGCCTCGGTGTCCCCATGGACACAAAGGGGCAAAAAGAGGGTTCCCAGTTTTGCAGCCTTAAATAATGCCCACTTTATAGTGGGGATTAAAACAGAGTTCACCCCAGCACGTGAGCCCAGAGTGACACAGAGCAGGCCCAAAGAGGAGGAGAGCTGGGCTCCCCCTCAGGCACAAACACCAATGTGGCTCTTCCCCAGTTCCTGGGGCCCTTCCATTCACCATGAGCATGGCCTGCTGGTTGATAAAGGCTTGCTGCTGTGCTGCCAGCTGGCTGGGATCCACAGCTGGGACCACGGGCTGGGGCATCACCATGGCTGTGGAAGACAACACAGACATCTTCAAAATCCTACAGGTGAACATTCCCCACTGAGCCCCTCACCTGACACTGAAATGCACAAGTGTCACTGACAGCCCCCTTCCACCCCCTCCCCTGTGCAGTTCCAGAAACACTGCTATTACCTGGCATAGGTGCCACCCCACCAACCCCTGGCATCATAGGCATGGCTGCTGGCATCCCCATCATGGAGGGCATGGGCTGGTAAACTGGTGTTTGAGTCATTCCAGACAAGCCTAGAGGGAAAAGACCAAGTGAATGGTGCTTTGGAGAATCCCAAATGAGAATATACTGAGCAACCCCAGAGAGCACTTCTGGTGCTCTCCACATGCACCAACCACAGCAGGACACAGCAAAACTCAGGTGGAAAAAGGAAACCTAAGAAAAATGGGTGGTCTGCCAGATTTTAAACAGCAGTATCCAGACTCTGTTTCTGCAGCCTAGCTTTGGACACCACCATTCTTCATGATTAAGCTTGTAAATAATTCCTGCCTGTGTATGATTACAGAGGTTTTCTCTTGAGGACTGAGCAAAGATCTCTGGGGCTGGGACTGTCACATTGGTATCTTTGCAGTGGGTGGCCAGGCTGGATGAACAAGGAGCCCTGGCCTGGATGCCATTGTGTGTCATGGGGAGGAGCTGTGGGGAGAAAGGAATTCCTCTGCTCCCAGCAGTCAAGTCCCATATGGGGTCACAAACAAACCCCTCTGAGTGTGAAGCCAGCAGAGCAAAGGGTGTGGGGGTCAGACTCAGCTGAGAGGAGTCAGCACCCAGCACAAACCTACTGAATCATTATGTCCTCACCAGTGAGAATGGCCCTGGGATGATCATCATACACCTCCCTCATCTAAGAAGCCACATAAGTGACAAACTGGCCTCAGGCCAGTGATCTGTAATAGGGCTTGTCATGCCCCAGAGCCTCTCCAATAGCCAGGAGCAGTTGCTGTCTCAGGAATGACTGAACTGGACATTCCTCACCTTTCTGAGACTGCTGGGTGTGTTCCTACCCATGCAGATTCAGATTTGTCAGTGCCATTAATATATTGGTGTTTGACTCCACCCTGCTGCAAATGCCAGAGTCTCAGCTCCACAGAAATGAGGAAAAGCAAAGAAACCAAATACATAAACCAAAACCTCTTGAGGGTTCAGACTTACTAACCCAAGGAATAGCTACAGATGACGGGAAGTTCTGTAAGGAAGTAATAAAAAAGATTAAAACCAGCCCTGATAAAGGCACCAACTGCTCTCTGCAAGCATGGGGTGAATAGAAGGTGAATACATGACTTACAAATATTTGTCAGGGGAAGAGGTGGCCTGGGTCAGAAACAAGCTACCAGCTGCCTTGACCCCAAGGCCAGCTCAGAAGAGAAATTACAAGCACAACAAAGCAGCTCCCTTATCTGACACCTCTGCAAGGCATCTGTCTCACCTGGGAGAAGGAGTGCAGCCTGTGCTAAAGCCCAGTGCTCTGCATGAACCAGCTGAACATGCAATAATTAGCATTTAAGGGGCTCCCTGACTAGTGCTCACTGAAGGTGATGTAGTCCCAGGTGTCCCCATGGCCTTACAGACCTGTAGAAGGAAAGATTCCTCTCTGTGTGGGGCCAATCTTCCCACCTCCTTTCATGCGTCTGGTGAGATTCTCCCTGCTCTCCATCTCCTGCATCAAAATAAACCCAAAACAGTTATCTGAGCCCAGAGGGACAGACTTCCCGGAGGGAAAGACATTCAAAGGTGTGTCTGAGCTGAGCAGGGGCAGTGAATAGGCAGGAAAACCTTGAAGGACTCACAGGGACAGGAGAGCTGCAGAGAGAAGGCAGGAGGGAACAGCAGGGCACTTACAGATGCTCTGGAGCTCTGATGCAGCACAGGACTGAAGAGATCATCCACATAGTGATCCAGGCCCACAGGGACCCTCAGGTCATCTCTAAACCTTGGATCTTGGGAGCAGAGAGAAATCTGGTGACAAGGCAGGTAAGAAACCTTCCCCTGCCTCCAGTCCCTATTAGTCATGGTTCAGAGTGGAGTCTACAACAAGAAGAATCATCTGACTCCCCCTCTGCCCTGATGCCCTGGCTGGGGCCCATCTGGCCCTTCCCAGTGTCAGCCACAGTGCTGGGCTAAAGCTCACCTGGATGGAGACCAATAAGCTCTGGAGGCAGGCTGGGTGGGGGGAAGGCAGGGGCCTGGATACCTGGAGCAGGAGGGATCCTGTTGAAGAGGAAAATGAGATGAGGACCAGAGTGCTGGAAGATGGGTGACAGGGCCACAAGTGGTGGGGCAGGAGGAATAGGTGGCTCACATGTCCAGGTCAGAGGACTGCAGGATGCTCCTGTCCCTTTCTGGGGTGATGGGGTACTCAGTGGGGGCCCGGGAGGAGCTGATGAAGTTGCTGGTGTCCTCCATCTCTCCAATGAGGTCCAGCACAAAGTCACAGCCCAGCAGGTCCTGCCACATGTTGCCAGTGAACATGGAGACAGACCACCCTCGAGTGTTCTTGTCACAGCCCCTGGGAGAGGAAAGGTGTCCAGGCAGGCAGGGGAAAGGGAGAGGAAGGAAAACATTTCATTCAATTTCTTCTTGCCTTGTTTATCCTGGCTTAAATCCTTTAGATTTAGGGTGTGAATCAACTATTAAGTGCCCAGGGTTAGAAAAAATCTAGACTAATTCAAGATTTGTCCTTTTTATCAATTCTTTTTTCCTCTGAAGCTGCTCTCAGAGATCCCACCAGTGGTTCCTCTGTTCCTAAAGAAGCCCATTGTTTATGGCTGAGGGTTATGTTAAGGGTGAAGAGGGGAGCACAGGCTGGCGTGGGCAAGAAGTGAGTATTCTACATGTGACCATATAAATCCCAGCCTGCAGACCAAGCCAGGCTGAACCCTAGAGCTGGTGACAGCCTCTCTCACACTCCCAGATGTGCTCCCATCCTCTGCAGTACCTGGCACTCAGGATGCAGGCTGCATACTGCTCCCCAGTCATCCAGGACTCCACCTCAGCTGAGAACTTCTCCTCTGGCACAGAGAGCAAAGTCAGTACCCACAGCCTCCCTGGCAGGACCCAAAGCAACACCCACATTCCATGGGACACAGGCAGAGCCCAGCTGGAAAGTCTCAAACACTCCTGGGTGGTGCCACAGGAAGACTAAAAGCTCATGGAAGCTCATAAAAACTCCACATGGACAAAATAATATCCAAAATATCTGTTTGATGGCACAGATTGGCATCCCCAAGCAAACCAGGACACTGCAAGGGTTTTCAACCTGACAGGTGAAAACCCTTGCAGTGTCCTGGTTTGCTTGGGGATCACTCCACTCACAAGGAGCCAGAGTAGGGATGTTCTGTGTTCAATTCATAGAGCTGCTGGTTGCTTAAGAGGCAACTTCAGGTAATATTTGAGAAGGGCAGAAAGTCCCTGTAACAAAATCCTGCTGCATGGGCTGTAATAGATGGCAGCCCGGGAGAGATGAATAACCCTCTGTTGAGCAGGGCCCAAACCCAGGACAATCTCACCCCTCAGCCTGAGAAGCAGGTCTCACCAGGCCCAGACTTTGCAAGTTTTGGATCTAAATTCAGATGCTTGTTTCCCCCATGGCTGTACTAGCAGTGTTCTGACCCACTTTACTTAGTTGAGGGAATTATTTCCCAAATGCTGATTTCTACACTGGAAAAGACCTTAGAGACTGAAAGACAGCAGGAGGGCAGAAGAGTGAGTTACCATTAAAGGTATGAACATCCAGCACCATCTTCCCTCTCCTCTGGTTTGCTGTCCACTCCAGCTGGGTGGGAGGGTAAGCCCGAGCAGGCACAGCCTCTGTCCCTGTGCACTGAGCTGCCCTCAGCATCTTGCGCTGGCACACAGCGCTGTAGCCCTCCATGCCATAGTCTGACACAAACCTGGGAGAAGGAACTGCATGAAGCACTGCTCATCCCTCCAAACCCCTCTGTAAGCCTGCCTTGGCCTTTTCTCCTCTTACTTCAGCAGTGGCTTCTGCAGTGCTGGTGAGGGGCCAAAGCAGCTGAGCAGAGTGGCCATCAGGAGCCAGCCCCGCCGGCTGCGCTCCGTGTCCGGGTTCCTCCAGCTCTGGGCAACCACCTGGCTGAAGATTTCATCGCGCAGAGCAGCGTCCCTCAAGCCTCTGGCAGCAATGAAGTTGCCCAGCAGGACCTCCTGCCAGCCATGGAGACTCTGGTCACCGATGAAGCGCAAAATCTGGAAGGATCCGGGGCAAGAGAGAGAGAACTGGAGCTGTAACCCCCTGTCCCAAACTCTGGGGTAAGAGTTGGAGACACCAGGAGCCTCTGTGGCCAACAATCACATTGGGGCCTGTCCTCAGGTTTTTGAGCACCACCAAAGTGCTGGGCAATTTGGGAGGCAACGTTTATAGAGATTGGATCCTGACTAAAAGTCAGGGTGACTTCAGTCTCTTCTGAGGTATGACTCAGAATTTGGTCTAGGGCAAAATATTTCCCCTTGGGCAGGGCTCAGGCACAAAGTAAATTACCATAAGATACTTGCTACTGAGCCCACTGAGTGTTCAAAGCCTTTGGAACAGTTAATATTATACCAAGTACTATGGGATGTGGTGTCTCAACACAGTCACTGAAGTGATTCAGCTTCTTGGCTATGCATATCAACTTCTTCAATGCTTTTCTAGTTTGTATTTCTCACCCTTAGGTACAGAATGATTTCTTTCATCCTCTACACTTCAATATGTCACAAATTAAGTTTTTTTTCTAAAATGGACAGCTTTGGAAAGAACATTTAAGCATAACAACACTTCTAAAAACACCTAATGGTACCAAGTGTGTCAGAGATTCACTGAGAAAAACAGGGGATGGTGATTGTTTAGTTCTCATGGAATTCTTTGTAGCAAATCCCTACTTCATTAGCAAGGGAGAAAACTGCCTTTGATCTTTAGAAAAATAATAGTGTTCTGCTTAAACACAATCCTATTCACAAGATTTTATTGAAGATTATGCTCTTCTATAATTGGGATCACAAGGACAAAACAAGAGACTGTTTTTAGGTATTAAGCCCATTTCTTAATGGGTTTATTTTAATTCCATGTAATTCCCAAAAAGATGACCAGATTTACTTAGAAAGTATCCGGAGTTTCATTTTATTTTCAACCATTTTAAAGAAGAAATATAAAGAAGTACAAGTTTCACATCCACAGAGATGAAATAGCACCATCCCCTTCACACAAACACTACAGAGTAAGGGTGTGGTTCCAGGTGTACTTTTCCTGATGACAAAGTCCCTGCCCTTTTCCAGCCTTTAAACAACAGTTCACTGTCCTCTGTTGGGTACTGACACATCTGTGAGCCCGAGGTGCAATTGAGATGTTCGCTATAAACCACATCATGGTTTAAACCACATGGAAAAGATCTGGGTTAAATGAAACTTTTTATGATTGATAGACAAGTAAGTGGTTGAGAAGACAGACTTCCCTTATCATTGCTACTGAGTCTGGAATATTGGGATATTAAAGTTTAGCAGTCCTATTCCTATATGTCCTGCCAAATTCTGAGGCTCCATCATCAGGCAATTCACTTTGATCCCAGTAGTCTGTCGCTGGTCTGTGCCTCCCCAAAAAGACAGCAACCTTAAGGGGCTGTGTGTGATCTCTGTCAGGCTGCTCCAGGGCCTAGAAGGAGCAATTTATTCTGCTTTTCCAGCCCTCCATGTATTGTAAGAACAGTGTCCACCACCAGCAACTTGTTGTATAAAGGCATCAAAACATTGTCTGTGCCCACCTGTTCCCAGCAAGGTCAAGAACAATGTCTCTTACCAGTTTGTTTATCTCAAGTGCACTCTCCTGGTGTTCAGCATCCAGGTGGGTTAAGGGGTGCTGCAGAGGCTGACCAGGGGCAGGGAAATCTGGCTTCTACAATGAAACAAAAAAAAAAAGACAAATATTTGCTCCTGGTGTTGCTAAAACCAGTGTGTCTGCCCACAGGGGAGGCAGTGAAGAGAGATAAAGAGTTCCCACCTGGAAGTATGATTTGATGAAGGAGGAGAAGGGATGGCTGTTGATGGTGGGTGGGAGGGAAAGGTCATCCTTGACCTTGACTTCTGGGGGCTGTGTCTCAGTTATCTGGTTGGCCTGTGCTTGGTGTCGACCTGCAAGGGAAGGAGGTCTGCTGTGCTGGCAGGACACAATTCACAGGGCAGCTCCTGCTGACCTGCACCTCACCCTGCTGAGCCCCTGACCCAGCCCTGGCTGCAGGGACACCCAGCCCAGCCCCCAGCAGGCACAGCCTCACCTCCCTGAGAGCACAAGGACTCCCTTCAGGAGGGAGATTTTACAGCTTTGATCTCTCAGACCATTCTCCCCAGGGAACACCTGGAGATTCAAGGCCGCTCTGCAGCATTTACAGGCAGGAAATGCTGAGCCCATACAGAGATACTGCTGACAACAATCCCCAGTCCACAAGGAAATGAGATGTCTTTGTAATGAAGGATTTCTCATGGGTAAGAGAAGAGCAAACATCACTAAATGAAGGCATTTCTCAGTGCAGCACAGCTCCTGTGCATTCCTCTCTCTCCAGCTGTGTCCCTGATGCTCTCCAATCCTCCCCATTTACATCCCATCAGCTTTCATTTCCAGCAGTTTCACTGTTCCCTGAGCCCCTCTGGCTTACATTGCTCACTAGACCAGCTGATAGTCCCTGCAGGGCTCTGCCATGAAATGTGAGCTATTTGGGAATCCAGCACAGTCTGCTCCAATTCACCAGACTCTTCTGCCTGATTGTCTCCCTTACTGTTCCCCACAGAAGGCCACAGGCACAGCTGGCTTTGGCTTTGACACTACACAGACACAGAAAGGCAAATCCTGCCTCAACCTATTTGCAGCTTAAATATTCACATTGTACAGAGAGCTACAGAGGAAACACAACTGCCCAAAACTTAATGCTCAGGGTCAGATCAACAGCTTGTGAAATTATTGCAGTTAGTGGTATTTTGGTGATTTGAAAACCAATTGGTGCATTCCAAAATTGATAAATTAACACATACTCAATTTGTTACATTGTTACATTCTTAAGTTATTATATTGTTATGTCCTTGGACCGATAAATTGTTATATCTCAAGTTATGACATTGTTCCATTGTTCCAAGCTGTTACCTTGTTTCTCCTTCCTTCTATTTTAAACTTCATTTTGAGGAAATAATTTTTAATGAAACCTAAAAATATTTCTTTGAAATTGTCCAAACTGTTGTTTTCTTCCCCTTCAATTTCCTTAAAGATTTTAGACTAGGTAAAAGATGGGTTTAAGTTTTTCCACCCCAAATACTCATCTCTGCCAGAGACCTGGGTTCATTAAGCAATTTGCTGTCATGTAACTTTGACCAAAGAGTTTTGGACCATCCCTGCCATCAGTTCTACCTGCCCAGTTCAAAAGAAGAGCTGAAAAATTAACAAAGATACTGATTTTCAAGCTGGTGTTCTGCCCCCTGGCCCAAGTTGCTTTTCCTCCCTACCATGTCAGGAAACAACATCCATGGTACCATTTGCCTTTATCATATTTACACTGCAATGATAATGAATCAAAACCAGCCCAGTGATAGGCAGCAGGGAGAACAAAGACACACTTTGATATAAACAAGGAAATACTCAGTGAAACAGTGCAGGAAAGGGAGGGAAGGAGGAGGATTTCTCACCTTCAACAAAGTGCAGGAGGGCTGCGAGCTCTGCAGGGATCTCCAGCAGCCCCACATCCTGGAGACAGAAACAAATCAGTCAAAAACAAATCAGAGAAAAAAAACACATAAAAACCCTGAGCTGAGACTGGGTGGAACTGCCTTGGAAAAGCTGCCAGGACAGGGATGGAGCATCTGAGCCAAAGCAGTGAATTCTGCCTCCACATTCAGAGCCATTGCAGACAGGGAGGTATTGCCTGAACACAGCTTGTGACATGGGTCAGCACAGGAGGGAAAGGGAGCAATTCCTGAATAAAGTAATCAACTGCCACAAGGGGAAGGACAGGAAAGTTGGCTTTCTTTGACTCACCCCTCATTCCTATCAAGTGTGGCATATTGCACTGTAGAGATTGCACCTGAAGGGTAAGGGCCATTTCTTCCTGCCCTTTCCTGACAGTTTTCTTTTGATTTTTCTGTATCAAAAAGTGCTACAGCATAAAATGAGACCTGATTCTGATCTTTGATACATATTGGAGGTTCCTAAAAAAGCTCAGATCTCTATCTGGGTAATCCAGAGGAGAGTCTGGCCAATGAGTTTCGATTTTTCACTGGTTTGCACCTTGCACTGCTGCAGGGTAGGAAGCAGGTGGGCCAATACAACACAGTGTCAGCCTCACTGCATGTAGAGTCAGCTCAGGGCATTTCAGACAGAACTACTCAGATTAAGGCACTATATAACCAAGCCAAGGTCACAAAACCTGAGTTTGTGGGACTTTTTGGTTTCCTGTTTTTTGGGGGTTTTTTTAAGATCTGCATAGTAAAGCTTTTTTTAAGATCTGCATAGTAAAGTGTGTCGCCAGCACATTATTCTGACATCTCTCTCCACTTGAAGACACATTCACAGCATTTTTGATCAGTTTAATTTTGCTCATAAGATACTTGACTTCAAGTCTGGCTTTTCAATGGTGTATCCAGGAAGTGGACTGTGAAATTCCACAGTTCTGGATCCACACCTGGGGAAGGAGGTGATACAAGAGCATCCATTTTTTTTCTTGTTCTTACTGACAGATCTATACAGAATTGTGGATAATATCAATTCAGATTCCCTTGATACAGACACTGCAGCAAATGTGTGTCCAGTCAAGACACATCAATAATGGCATTAGTTAGAAGTGTTGATACAGACTAAAAGTGTTGTGAAACCTTTAATACATCCATTTCTCTACATCAGCTTCTGTTAATACATTTATGCAGAAGTGTCTCATTCCCATTCCTCACAATAGAAGATAATTGCCAAAAATAATCTTCCCTCTACCTCTGCAGACCAGGTCAGTGCTGTGAGCAAACACAGTGCTCTGGTTCAGGACTGGCTGACAGTGCCTGGCTGTGCCCAGAGCACAGGAAACACTGAACTGATGAGATATTTCTCTATTAGAAGGCCCTTGACACCATCTAACCTGCATTCTGTACCAGGTTCCAGACACGTGTGCCCTCTCTAGATGTTCTGCTGTTCCCCAGCAAACCTGGCCTGAGGAGGCACAAGGGAGGGAGAACACCTGGAGAACCTGAGTTTTTTATCTCAGACCATCCCAGACCCTTTGACAACTCACCATTCCTTGGCTGGGACTATTCTCTGTGTCAGCACAGGCCAGGGAGCTCCTTCTTTGTTTCCTTTCCTCTTAATCCTGCTATTAGGAGATGAAAGGGGATAGAGGGTGGGAAGATATGTGGGTGAATTAAATTCCAGCTATTCTGGGGGCAGATGCTGAGGGTGGCCAGGAGATGGTGTCCTGCTCCAGCAGATGAAATGACAGAACAGCTAAGGAGCCTTCCTGGGACCCCAACTCAGTGTATTGAGAAGGGGCTGCCCAGGCAGAGACCTGAGCTTTGCTGGAACACCTCCTGCCCTTCCTGACACAATCCAACAGCAAGAGCTTGCAGCACCTGCCCACCATCCTGCCACACCTTCCCTTGCTGGGCATCTGATGTGGCCTAGGACAAAAGCTCCCAGCAGCTGCCACCTCCTTCAGAAATATTCACCCACCTCCTTCAGCATCAAAGCACCTGATAACAGCCTGAACAGGACAGTTGAACTTGTCCATGGAGAGGAAATCCTTTAGAAAGGTGGGAGGGATACCAAAAACTAAACTCCCTCACAGCTCTGCCCTTTCCCTTCCATTCTATTGCTCCCCAGCCTCATCACTCACCTGAGATGGGGAAGAAGGGTCTCTGGCTCCTTCTCTGCCTCTCTCCTGCCTGTCAGTGGTGCAGAGCACTGAGACTACATGGGAGGTTGTGAGGGCTGGGCTGAGAAAGACAGTGCAAGCTAAAGTCCAAAGGGCAGGGCTGTGGGGTGGAGGAAAGGAGGAACTTTGCAGCAGCTGAACTTTGAGACCTTTGCTGCTGCTACTGCATGTACAGAGACCTCAGCAAACAAATACTGAAGGAACAGAAACAGATTCAATAGAGTTGCACTGTTGTGGTTACCTGGGAGAAAGAAAATCTGGATCCTGTCCAAGTGGGAAGGGCAAGAAACAGAATAGAAACTCATGCTGTGCTGGACATGGCAGGAGAGGAGGCACCTCTGCAGGTTTGTATCAACACCATTGTCCTTAACCCTCTGCCCCACCATGCCCTCAGCCATGCCAAGAGCTGTGCTGGGTCCTTCCCTTGTAAAGCTGACAGCTATGAGATGTTACTGCTACTCTAAGGAGGAGTGGTCTGATTTCCTCTTTCCAGATTTATTTTAATAGTAAGGAAATGGATAAGGAAATGGCCCTTACCCTTCAGGTGCAATATTTTAATTTCCCAATTTTATTGTAATAGTTTGTGCACAATACATTATACCCACTGGACAGAACCATGGCTCTCTCCTGTACACTACTTTCCATCTTCTCAAAAACTTGCCATCCTGTTCTCACCCCAGCTGATCTCCAAGAGGCCAAGGGCTTGAGCAGCCTGAGGCAGCTGTAAGGGATCAGGGGAGGTTCATCATGGACTGAAAGAATCTTGCAATTCAGTCACCATTAGTAATTGACCTGGGCAACAAAAAAAGCAAGGTGAATGACTCCTTAGAGTTTGAGCAGAACAGCAGCTCTGAAGAGCACAGATGGAACTGGCTCTTGTCTCATGTAGGGCAGCCTGGAGTGATGCCTGGAGAGGCTGCCTAGAACAGAGGCTAGACCGAGTTAGAGAATAAAGTGGGTATTCATTAAAGGCCTTCAACAGATACACCTTGGGCAGTGCAGGAGCCTGGCAGAGGCTACACCCAAGATGGACAATGGTCATGAGTTTTTCAGACAGATACAAGTTTGGTCTATCTGCATATCACGGGTTAATTGTTCAATTACAGCTTCAGGTAATGAAGTAACATTCTCCCAGTTAGCTTCCCCTGATTCACTTTTGTTTATTCTTTTCAGACCTGAGGCTGTGATGGTGACCCTGGTTCTCAGGCCTGGAAGGATTGTTTTGTCTGACCAAACTGTGAAGAGAGCTTACTAACATTCCATATGGAGTTCAGAGTTACACACTAATGCAGTGCAGGATCTGAAAAATAGAAAAGCTAAAACTGAAGGCATCATTCCCACCCTGGCTCACACAGCCAGACCCATGAATCAGCTGTGTTTGCAATACCTGTGCCAATTCTGCATGTCATTTAGAGAGAGAAGGCTCCAGCCTCTCTGCTTCCTTCATTTGGCTACATTTATGTCAGACAGAGGGTGAAGGACACCTCCCTGGGTGAGGACACCTCACCTCACTCCCAGCAAACCTTCCAAAGCCATCCCTGCCCTGGCCTCACCCAGTCTCACTCTGCTTAGGGCAGGAACAGCCCCTCCTGTACACCTTGCTCTGCTGTTACCTGGCAGCGCTTCCTCCTCTGAATCAAAGGTCTGGAGATCACAATCATGGTTTTAAATTGCACCAAAGTCTTCTTCAGCCTCCTGTAACGCTTCCTAGAGGATGAGGAAAGAATTGTCTGATGGGGGACACATCAGCCACACAGACACACACGGAGCAGGCCAGGAGCCAACATGAGGAGGGGCCTGGACATCTCCACCTGGCTGTCCCTTGGCAAGGCCAAAGGGCTGTCCCTGGGCTGTCCCCTGGCTCCTGACCTGGCCTGGTAGCCTCGGAAGTGAGCCTGGATCAGTGTGACTTTCTCCTGCAGGACGCGGAGGCGCCGGCGCTGGAGGAGGCGGCGGAATTTCCTCTGCAGGGTGACAACGGCCCAGCTCTGCCTCTGCTGCCATCGTCTCTCCAGCAGCTGCCTGCCCTTCTCCTTCAGAAACACCTGGGCAAAGGCAGCAGCTGCTGACCCACGAGGCAAGCAGCAGCTTCTCCCAGAGCTGATCAATAATAAAAACTGCTGGTTTATCCCTTCGTAGCCTTTAAGCGTTCTTGCTAAGGAGACTGGGGAGGGCAGGAGGCACAGGTGCAAGTGGCAGAGATGGATGCATTTGGGGTGGACAGGGAGTCAGGGAGTGATGAAGGTTAGCAGGCAGCAAAAGTAGAAGCCCAGGAATGCTGGGTATACGAAGGGCTTGGCCATGCTACAATAGCCTGGAGCTGGAGTCTCCTGTTAATCTGAAGTGCTAAAAATACCTCCTTAGTACTTGGGACAAGAGGCAAAGGTGAGAGGGGAAGGTGTGCAAGGCCCTCCCTCTGTGGGCAGAGGCCGAGCTCCTCTCCTGCTTGGCCAGCCTGGGAATGGTGGGTGGGGCTGTGCAACCCAGCTGGGATTCTCAGTAGGCATCACCTTTGTCACCCCAATCTGGTAGAGATCCGAGGGGTTCCCCACCACGTGGGCCAGCACTGCTGCACAGCCTTCTCTCTGCTCCAAGCTGCTGGGCCTGCTCCCTGCCAGGAGCCCGTACCTGGCACAGGAGGAGTGGGTGTGACAAAAACCAGGGCTGTATGTGGAGCCCTCAGAGAACAAATCCTCCAGGGCTGGGGGATCCCAAGCCAGGACAGCCCCGCACCTGGCCAGGAAGCTCTGGAATGGCAGATGGACTGGGAACCCCTCCTTTAGGATGTGGATGGCCTCCAGTATCCCTGAATGTCGCAGCTGACAGTTGACATATTCCACATCAAAGACATTTGAGAGCTGAGAAGATAAAGCAGACAAAAAAAATTAAAAACATGAAATAAAGACAAATTAAAGAAAGGATACTGAAGGCAGGGAGTTTAGAAAGGGCCTCCTTCTCTTGTCCTGTCCTTGGATTGGATCTTGCTGCGGGCTGTGGGCCATGGAACACAAAGCCCAAGGAATACTTTGGTGTCCAGCTGACCCCGGTTCTGCTCCTGCAGCACAGGATTAACTCACATGGCCACAGGGAAGGGTGGGACACAGAACAATGGGGAAGAAAAGTCTCAAGCTATCAAATGAAACAAAGAAGTTTAAATCCCAGCTGTGAAAGGAGAGCTGTTGGAGGAGAATGAAGGAACTGAGGGACTCCATAAGGAGCTCAGGGTGCTGCCCTACCTTCCTGGGGTTAGGGGTGATGCAGCGGATGAAGAAGGCATGGCTCCTGCAAAACAAAGGAAGAACCTTGGGCCTCCCTCCTCTCTGTGCTGACCCTGGAACACTTCACATTCTGCGTGCCAGCAGCATCTCTCACCCTCTCAGCTTGGCTGTGAGGTCCTGCAAAGACTGCTGGAATTTGGACACCAGTGTGGAGGCCTGAGGCCTGAGCCCTCTGCCCCTGCCCCCCAGCTCCCTTCGCTGACCATAGGCAGCTTTAGCCCTCTGGAAAATCTCAGACACCACCTGCAAAAACAAAGAAATTACCAAAACCCGCTGAACTATGTGGAAAGAAGAATCTCTTCTACCTGAAACTTAAGGGGACCATTTTCCCTTGCCCCTGGCAGTGGCAGGAATGCAGCTGCATCCTCAGGCAGTCTCTGTGTTTTATATATAAAGTGCATCAATTGTGGGCAAAGACAATTTGCCCAATTCCCAAGTAAATTCAGTAAAATAAAACTTGTGGCTTCTCTAGGTTCTCCTGACAGCTGTTTAGCACCTTTCTGCTTCTCACATTAAGACAATGAATGGATCATTGGGCACCTGCAGTAGAGATCTTCCTCCTGACCACTTCTGTACCTTGAGGCGGCTCTGGGAAAAGATATCCAGCACCTCTGGCCGCAGCTGGTCACGGTTTTTATGGAGAAACTTGTGGACCTGCAGAGGCAAAATCTGATTTAAAGCACCATTCAGACCACTCAGACAGGCACACACCCCTGTTACACACACTGGGACTGGGGACAGGCAGCTGGAGAGCTGGAACAAGGGGAAAGCCCTGGAGAATGAGGCTGGTTCTTCCTGCTGCCACCAGGGTAGAGAGGACAATGACTTCTGCTTTGAGAAGGGATTGCTCCATTTCTCCTTCACATCACCCTGCAGGCTTTCACCCCTCTTTTTTTTGGGTTTTTTTTTTCCCCAGCAGCCAGAGCTTTCCTGCATTTCCAGGGCTCTGAGGCTGTTGTGTCACTGAGGGCAATTCCTATTTTGCTTCTGCCCAGAGGCAGCTTAGTTGGCTCTCTTAATAACAAGCTCCTCTCTTCTGATAAACTGGTGCTCTAGAGGGAAGTGCAGTCACAAGGGGAGAGCTTTGGTCACAGAGCTGCTCCATCAGGACACCCACAGCTTGTCCCCAGGGTGGGTTATTTCTCCAGCTGCTCCGAGCCCCTGCCAGCTCACCTGGTAGGTGACAGGGCCAGCATAGTGCTGCACAGTGAACTCTGGCAAAGGCAGCTTGGGCTTGCTGTACCAAGGGCTGTTTCCATGGTGGTAATGACACTTCTGGAGGAAAGTGTGGTCTGTGGCCTGCAAAAGAGATTTCCTGATGCTGCAACACTCTCAGTAGGCTGAAAATTCACTGCTGAACTGAAGGTAAAAACATTGAACACTTGTGCAATCATTCTGGAAAACAGCCTCACCTTAACCATCCTCTGAAAGGGATCCCATGACAGGCTGGGAGCTCCTCACCTGAGTCAGGGATGTCTGGTCATCCAGGATGCACAGGAGGCCATGGGGCTTTGCAGTAAGGAAATCCAGGCACGACTCACTGCACATCCTGGAAATAGGAATCCAAGCTAACTGCTCCTGGCTGTATTCCTCCTGCATGTTAAAGGCCAAACCCAGCCACACAAACAAGGACAAATGGAGAGAATTAACAGAGGGATTTGGGTTGTTTATCAGGAAGTTAGTGTTTCACTGCTGTTAGGAATTTGCCTAGAATTGTCTGGTTTTGTCTCATAAAACTTCTTCTGAAGCCACTAATGATTTTCCTGATTTGAAAGAAGGCTGCTAAACTGAGTGATACAGTGAACTGTAGAAGTCAACAAGTTTGATAAATACACCTTCATCCCCAGGACATAAGTGGCACAGAATGCTACAAAGAAGCCAAACAGGCTTTAAAAGCACCCACTGAGGTCTGGGCTCTGACCCTGACCAACTCACTTCAAAAATCTGAAAAGGGAGCAAGGTGCTGACAAAATCTCCTTCCCTTAATTTACTGTAGAATTAATTAAAGGTATTAAATAAGCAACTCTCTGGGCTAGGATTCCATGGATATTGCCCAAGAAGACCATTCAGTTTCCTGTTCCCTGCTGAGGGACACTCTGAGGATGCCTCAGCTCAGTCCATGTGTGCTGGCTCAAGGTGCTGTGAATTCCACTAAGCTCCACTCACCTCTTCCTGGGCAATGATGGTCTGGCTGAAGAACCACTGGAGGTGCTCATTGGCAAAGTTGATGCAGAGCTGCTCTAAGCTGTTCACCCCCAGATCCTGCAAAGACAAAAATCCATCCCTTCCCAGGCCCAGGGAGCTGTGGCTCCCTCTAAATGCTGCACAGGCCAAGCTGAGCTGAGCTGCTGGTTCTGGCCAGTGTGAATGAACCCCAACAGTTCAAACCACCTTCTGTCTGGTTTGCAAGCTCTCAGCCTGGCTCACTGACTAGGCTGAACAGCCAGAGGTGAGACAAGCTGTGAAGGAGCACAAAGAAGGAAAGATCTACTCTTGGATACACAGCCCACCTCTGTATTCCATGGTTTTCAGCATTCATTGGGACACAGGTTTTAGCAGGAGCCCTAAACACTGCAAGGCCTTGGTGGGCACATGCCCTCACTGCTTAGGCCGCAGCAAAAGAACATGGAAAACAACCTCAAAGCCATGGATGTCCACAATGCCCACGGCACAGTCGGACTCCCAGGGAGCCAACCACTCATTGATCCTCAGCAGCAGCCACTCAAAGAGCAGGTAGTACAGAGCCTTGGCAATGGAGTCCCTGAGTGGGAGGGGGGAGAAGAACCAGTTACTGCAAAGACAGCACCTCTGGGTGCATCTCACCCACCCAGACATCAGCAGAAGTCACCTGGCATCAATGGCTCCTTCTACAGACAGAGGGGTGAAGATCCGATCATAAGATGTAACCTGGATACATAAAGAGACAGAATTTACTCTTATTATTTCACAAAAATACCTTTTTTTTTTTTTTTAAATCCACAAGGAAGTCAGCCCAGTTAATAAATGGATTTTTTTTTTCTATTTGGCTGAGAATTTACCCAGATATCAAAAGAAAAACTTTTTACCTTTAAAACCCAGAATTTTGCTGCCAGAGGTGAGAGTCAACTGGCCAAAGTGATAAACCTGAGGCCACTCATGTCATAAAAGAGCCCCCCTAGATGTGAGCTCTGCCATCTTTAAAGAGCTGCCTTGAGGGACTCAGCCCACCCCAACCATTTTATTCCTGCTGTTACCCCCCAGATTTTGAGCCTTCTAAGTTTAGGACAGTGGGGCAGGACATGGGATGCTTCAGGAGGAACGGGAAATCACCAGAAGGGACTCACAGTGACACGGTGAGTGACAGCCCTCTGCAGCAGTTCTGCTGACACATGCAACAGATTGGCCACAATCTGAATTTCAGCCTCACTGGCGATGGCTGCGTGTTCAAAGGAGTCTTTCTAAATAACAAAGTGTTCTTTATTATATATGTTATAAATATATATTATAATATTGGCTTTTCACAAATATTAAAATAGATTTTATATGTGTAGTGTTAAAGTAACTTTGTTATAAAGATACAGTTTTTAGTTCTGTTGTTAATTAAGCTTAGTGAAATAGCTGCTTGTGCTAAAATGCCAGCTTGGATGGGATAACATCCAATGAACACAGGATGAGGACACCTGTACAGATCTGCTAGCTATCAGCACTCACACTCTGAAGACAGTGTGGGCCAGGGCCCAAAACTGAAGATGATGGTAAAAATGGTCTAAAACCACAACCAAGGAATCTGCATGCTCTAAAAAGGCAGACCCAAGGAGGGGCCATGTAAAAATAAGTCAACTAGTTTGGGAAAAAGTTTACTATGCATAAGGGTCTATGAATATGCAACAGGCTGATGTAAGGGAAAAGGTATTTAAGGGGTATCTCTGAAGATAACAGGGTGATCTTAGCTGAATGCCAAGATGCACCCAGCCTTAATAACCTTTGCTCTATGGTCCTTGTCTCTTATTATCACTTATTAAACTTTTTAAATTTTCACAGGAGAGTGAATGTGTTTATCACATATATTACTGTACACAAATTACTATCTATATTACTATATATTATAGATAGGAACAATGGATGGGATACAAGGTCCCTCTTGTATTAATATTCTCAACAGCACCTCAGCTGCACAGAGCTGGTCACAGCCTGGGCAGAGCACCAGGTTCATTTTGGCTCCTTAAAAAGCCACCCAAGCTCCAGTGACCTTTGGTTGTCTCCCAGCTTCTGTCCCTGCCTAGATCAGTCTAGAGCCCAGCACTGAAAGGACAGAAAGGTCTTCAAAGGATGTCATCCTCAGTCAGGAATCATGTCCTCAGTCCCACCACATGGCACAACAGCAATATCCAGCACAAATATCCTATTCCCAAACTGCTGGGGTTACTGTACCTCATAGGAGGTAAAGCAGATGTTCCCCAGCTGCAGAATGGCAGCCAGGACAGCCCAGGTGGAGCTCAGCTGATCATCTGAGAGGCCAATTCCCTCCAGAGCTTGCACCAAGACCAGAAAATCCTGACTGTCCTCCTTCCCCAGGACTTCACATGCTCTGCCCTGAGAGAAAAGGGGGGAGAATCGTGATCAGCCCCTTCAGCCTCAGGCAGGGCTTAATCCACCATCAGGAATCTTCAGTGAAGTAGTTCAATCTTCTAAAGACTGGAGGAATCTGAAGAGATGAAAGACAGCACTAGTGGAAACTCAGCATTTGTGAGGGGCCAGTGTCTTTACCCTGTGGAGTTTTGAGATTAAGATCTCTCTTACCCACACCTGCCAAGTTTCTGCTGGAATTGCAGTACAAGCTCCCCAGGATGCCGGGGTGGAATTTGAGGAGAGGAGAAGTGGTGCCTGAGTGGAGTCCCAGGTAAATCATGGCAGAGCAGCTCCCCAGATGGTACCAGATGGGTTCTGTAAAGCCAGGGAGCCTCCCGGGGTTACAGCCTGTCTCACCTTGGCCACGGAGCTCCAACACAACACGGGTTCATCACTCCTTCTTTTCCTCTCTACGGGAGGACACTCCTAGCAGCTGCCTGTGACCCTGAAGGTCACAGAAATCCTGGGTCAGGGGTTCTGCAGAACCTGTTTGTGCTCAAGGGCATTCTTTGACCACAGTTCCCAGCTCTCAGCAGATTTTGGTGAGACAAGGATGAGGTTCAGGCAGTCCTTGGGCTCCTTCTTGCCAAGATCCAAGATAGATTTTTTTCAATCTCTGCTAACTCTTTTGTGCATAATCTGATATTCCCTTCCCTTCTCTGCAGCAGGCTGGGATATTCCTGTTACTTTCACCTTGAAGATTTTGCTTTACAATGCTTTGCCAGCCAGGTACCATTAATCACCCATTAGGGGCTGGGCCCTTCATTGCCCTCCATCCTAGAGCCATTCCTCGCCCGAAGGCGAGGTGATAGCAATCGCTATCGAGGATTCCTCCTGCCCGCGGCTGCTGGGAGGAATTTGAATTTGTCACCTGGGAAAGCTGACTCACGCTGAGATAGTAAAAATTTCTTGCTGTTGTTGTGACCTCCTTGATTATGGAAAACAATCTTTTAAAAACTCAAACAAAACCAAACAAACAAACAAAAAACCAACCAACCAACCAACCAACCAAACAAACAAAAAAAAGTGTTCCAAGATTGCGACTTTGTGACTTGATATAAGTCTGACAAACAAATTCAATTTAAATAATTGCAATCAGCAGTATATTTCAGTGGTTTAAAATCTGCACTCACTGACAATAAAGGAAGTGTTTTGCAGAAGATAGAAAGAAATTCTCCCTGCTTTTGGCAGTCCCACGGTAATGAGAGGCAATGAGAAAAGGGGTTTTACACCACACGATGGAGCCATGAGTCTACACAATGACTCCTCGTTAAAGCCCGTCCTTTGAGAGCAGAAGGGGCCTGAGAAGTGAGAAAATGATCACGAAAGAGACAAAGATGTTGATTCTTAGATCAGGGATGAGAAGGAGCAGAGGATGAGAAGGAGCAGAGCTGACTTTCTGCAGGGGAGCAGAGTGATTTGGTGCCTCTCTAAGCAAACAGAAGGGATGCCTGGACCATTTCTCTGTGCCAGCTGCTGCAGAGCACCCTCAGCTCACTCACCTGGTTCAGGTAGAAGTAGGACTCTGCCTCCTGCAAGTACAACTCCTCTTTCTGCTCCACGGGCAGCCCTGCCAGCAGCTCGTAAAACACGTGGTAGTTCCTCTCACCGTGGGCCTGATGGGACACATCCATGGAGCTGATCCATATCCAGCTCCAGAAACCCCCAGAACACACTCACAGAGCAGGACCAGGGTTCCCACTGACACCTCAAGAACGATCCCTCTGGGAGAAGTCCTTTTCACACAGCTCTAATATTTGACCATTCCCACACTCCAAACATTAAGAAAAACTAATTGAGGGAAGATTCAACTTTCAGTAATCCCTAATAAGTGGCTTAATTCAACCTGTTTGAGACAGAGAAACCTCCTGTTTTATTCAAATAAAAGAAGTGGTCACCCTGTACTACATGGAGGGGACATAGTTCTTGCTGGTAGAAGAAATGGAAAACAATTCTCATACTAATTCCCACCCCCGTTATTTAACAGTAAATTTAAGTCTAAATGTTAATAAGGGAGAGAGGGGGCCACTGGTCCTCACCTGAAACACCACACGGGACTTCTCCAGCAGGTACTGGGAGATGGATGTTCCCACCACAACGCCCCTGAGCAGAAGACAACAGATCCTGTCAGAACCTGGGGACAGGTTTTCTGCAGATTTGTGCAGATAAGAACAATCTTAGGGACATAATCTACAGGAATCTCCAAATTGTTTTGACAAAATTGTGGGATTTTCATGGAAACCAAGCAAGCACAGAATAAGAAGGAAAGTCATAATGTGGGTAGGAATAAAGGTCAATTCTCTTAACAGTCTGAAACAACCATCAGAGTTCCACAAAGTGTCTGTACCTGACCTGTGAGGGTTTGATAAGTGACCTAGAAGAGGAGCTGAACAGCAATGGGACAAAGCTTCCTGCTTGTATGAAATTGTTCAGAGTAGTGAGGATGAAGGCCAACTGTGAATAAATGCAGACAGACCTTAGAGTGCAGAGTGAGTGAGCAAGAAAATGGCACATGAAGCCCACTGTAGATAAATGTGAAGTGATGGGTACAGACCCAGCGTCACATATAAACAGAAAGGCTCAAATTTAACCATTGTTCCTTAGGACTGAGACCTGAGGGTTATGATAGACAGTTCCATGAAACAATCAGCTCAGGGCTTGGCAACAGTCAGGAAAAATCCCCAAACAAACCAACCAAATCCAGAAGTTAGAAAGGAGGCAGGCTCAAAACAGAAAGGTGTTTTTCACAGAACTGGTTAGACCTGTGGAACACTTGAAGGCTGTTGCAGAAACATCAAGTTTGTATGAGCCCAAGAGGAAACTGGAATACCTCAGGAGACTGAGGAAAACTCCTGAGCTGCTGCAAATGTTAAAGAGCTCAAGGGGTTTTAGGGAAAAGCATTGCTTGTATTTGGGCTGTTCTTGCATCAGGCAGTGCTTGAGGTCAGTGCTGAGGACACTGCAGGGTATCAGATGGGTCCTTGGTATAAACCAGTTCAGCCATTCTTATGTTCTCATTTTAACTCATCTTGACAAACAAGATCTGTTCTTTTGGGAGGAAACACAAAAAAAGCAAAATAGGGGTTTAAACTCACCCTCTTCCTACCCTGATAATAGCAAGAGGGAAAGGGAGGGAGGGTTAATGTGTGAGCTCTCAGCACTGCTCCACCTGGTCTCACCCAAACACCCCTTGGCAGCTGGAGGGACCCGAGGGGATTCTCCAACACTCACTGTCGCAGGTGGACACTCAGCAGCTTTCCAAAACGGCTGGAGTTGTCATTGAGGATGGTTCTTGCATTTCCAAAACTCTCAAGGATTGGCAGGACATTGCAGGGCTGTAGAGAAAAGAGGAGGGAACACTTCAGTAGCAATCACGGGGTTTTAAACACAAAAGGGTTTATGCACCTGTCAGTTTGAAAAGATAAACAAAAAACGGCATTTCACTGATATAATTCTCACATGAGTAAAAGATGTCTTTTAAAATGTATCATTATCTCTAGCCAGTGGTGAGTTGCTCTGTGAGCTCTTTACTCTCACTGCTATAATCCTTCACTCTGCTTCTGCTCTGTGCTTGTTCTGATTCACCTCCCAGACTGCTAAAAGCTCTCCTTGGCAGCAACCAGCTCTCTGTTCAAACAGATCCAGCACTTTTCACAGCATCAGGTCTCCCAGGTTTTAAAATACAGAACTACAAATACACCAGCTCTCCTCGAGTCTTTATGGGAGCTTCACCTTGGACCACAAACCCTCCCAAGTCCAGCCAAAGGAACACCAGCAGCAGCAGCCTCCCTGCCCTGGCTTTGGCTTCCTTTCCCTGCCCAACCCTCACGGCCTCCAGCCAAGCTCACTTGCCTGTTACCTGTCTGATCCTGTGGCTGTCAGATCCCTGGTACAGCATGGTCAGGTATTGCACAATGGCTTTGGCAGCTTCTGTTTTACCTGATCCACTGTGCCCACTGCAGGAGCAAGAGGTGGAGAAGTTGGCATCAAAACAGAGGTACCTGGTCTAGGCACATCAGAGGCCCTGCTGCAGCAAGTCAGAGGGGGTGTGCTGATTTACAGCTGAAGCTCTATCACCCATTCCTTGAAACACTGAGACAACCTGACAAAATGGGCCCACAAAGGATTCCCCAGGGGAATATCAGACGCCCTCTCTCCCACTCCTCTGAAGTGAAACTAAATTCAAACTGTTACTTGCAAAGAGTGAAATAAAAATCCACCTTACTCAGGTTCTCCACAGGCAGCCCTCATGTACAAGTCAGAAGGATCAACTTACAGGCAGTGAAATACAAAAGTGGAACTTTTACATAATGAAATCAAAGGGCCTTCAAAAAAGTCCTTCAGTTCCTACCTGATGAGGACACACTGCTCCTGCCCTGATGACTGGGACAGCGTGTAGGCCCTCTCTGCTATGGCAAAGATGTGTCTGCATGGACAGAAAGGAACCCCCATTAACTGACCCCACACTTCACCCCACAAGTGCAGCACCAACAGGGTGCTCACCAGGGATCTACATCAGAGATGGGCCAGTGTCTTCACCCAGGAAACTTGACCTAAAAATCACAGAATGATTTGGGTTGGAGGGACCTTAAAGACCATTTCATTCCTCTGCCATGGACAGGGACAACTTTCACTAGACCTGATTTTTTCAAGCCCTGTCCAGCCTGGCCTTGGACACTTCTGGGATGAACTTTAGCTCTGTAGGATTATAGACCCAAGCAACTACAGCTTTGCCAAATGGGCTGTTCACTTCCTGTGACATTCATCCTGCTCTACCAGAGAACTGGAGGAAAATAAAATACTTTCTGGAATAATAAAATACTTTACAAACAGAAGAGGGTTTAGAGAGTTATTTGAGAAAGGAAAACATACGGGGCACTTTTTGAGAGAGTCCCTTGCTGGTACTCGGTAGCCACATCTTCAGAGTAGATATTGAGGTCTTTGAAAGGATTCACAGAAATCAAAATTTGCCCAATGTAAGTCTAGGACAAAAATAAGAAAGAGGAAAAAAATCTGGGGGCTTCTTAGAATTTTCTGAATAAGGATTGCAGCTGAATGCATATATTAAAACAAATATACAAATTCCCTTTAAAGGAATATTATTTATTCTGACTATACTGCCAAGTTATTGAGGACACAGATTTTCAATGGTCATTTTCAAATCTCTGTCATTAATAATTTGGGATAAGTGAGCATTCCCTGGTCTGTGGTCATCTTCTCTAGTCACTATCTATTCTCTACATCAAATTACAGGCACAGGTTTGAACACTTGAGCCAGTAAATGGAAAAGAGAACAATTAACCATCCACAACCAGATCTGGACTGCAACACTGTGAAATGTTTGCAGAAACTCTGAGGTTTCTTCTCAAGATCCACAATTTTTAACTCAGAACTTCTCTGCTAAAATAGGAGATTCCCACTAGGAGCAGCTGAGGCTAAAAAGGAGCCCAAGTATGCTCACAGGTTGGCACCAAATACCAAAATTACAGAGAAACTCTAGAACTTCCAGATTTTACCCCAAATATTTCATGCTACCTGATTTCTGAGCAAAACTGTGGGAGTATAGTTTTTATCATTGTTCCCAGTAATGAGTGAGATACTTGGTGCATTATTAAAGCTTGATGGCATAATATAAATTACTTTCTCTAAAAGCTCATTGCTCAGAGTGAATAAGCACCAAACCAAACCAAACCAAACCAAACATAATTATCCATACATAAATGAGATTGCAATGGAACCTCCTCTTCAGGCACAGCAGGACTGAGCTCTCAGAGACTTCCCTACAAACAGAGGAAAGGACTTGTCAGCCATAAGCTTCACTTGCATGTGTTAATATTAAATATTAACCTTTCTGCCCTCCCAAGGATCACAGAATATTGTGAATTGGAAGGGACCCACAAGGATCATGGAGTCCAGCTCTTAACTGAAGGGCCTATATGGGGATCAAAGATTTTGTAAGGAGCTGGGACTAAAACTCTCCACTGCCTTCCTGTGGTTCCAGCATCCTCAGGATTAAACAGGCCAGAGAATGGAGCATTCAAAGCTCAGAATTTCCTCTCAGTGATCCCAGCCCCTTGCACAGCCTTTACAGGTGTTTATCTCAGCAGGACTGCAGGAGGGGAGGATGGTGAGGAGCAGTGTCAGGGGCTTATCTTTCAACAACAGCAGTGAACCAAGGGTTTATCAGCTCTTAGAGATGTAGGGCATTATTTTTCACAGCTGAAGGCAACAGGAGTCACTAAAGCCACAGATGCCAATATCAGTAGGCAAAGAACATAGAAATGTGCTTCTCATCCTGCAAGCTGTCTTTTCTTAGCACTCACTTCATACAATAAGAAAGGCATGTTAAATTCCTAATTCTGTCTTTCTGCTACATCACAGAACTCACATCAGCCTCTAAACCTAATTTCCCCTATCCATTAAGTGTTTTGGGCCTTTTTTAGAACCCATTTCAGGACTGGGAACCATTTAAGAGGAGAGGCAGAGTTCCAGGGATGCAGCTGTACAGAAGTGTGTTAACCAGGCTGGGCTGCTGGCTCTGGGCTGTGACTGCAGAGGTTCAATGTGCCCTCTCTGTGCAGCAGAGCCTGGGGACACGCTCTACATAACAGCCAGGAGCTCCTTCTGCACCTCTGCTCCTCCCCAGTGGTTCAGTGTAGGTCCATAACTTCACTACTAAAATTCAGTCTTTTACTCAGCTTTTCAGCAGAGCATCAGTTACTCAGCTATGATACACATCCAATCCATTCTATTTTCTCCCACAGAGGAAAAATTTTATTTTCTCCTATCTAGCTAAGGATCTAGCTAATCTATCTAGCTAATGTGTTTTCTATTTTTGAGCCACTTTTGCAGGAAAACAAGCAAGCCCTTGTGACCTGAATAAGCTGCAGACACTGAGGACACCTACTCCAGTCTGGTCAGATCTTCAATCTCCTCAACTTCTGCACAGTGCTCTTCACACATGTACACCTGAAATGCACAGATACATGAGTGAAAATCAGGGGAAGTTCAGTTCCATTCCAGTACTGGGGACAACACCCGTACCTGTTTCTGCATGAACTCCATCTCCAGCACATTGTCAGCAATATCATCTGCCTCCCACAGGTCCTTGCAGACCCTCCCACGGCTGCTGGCCAGCTGGGGCTCCTTGGAGGTGGCCCATTTGCTCAGGTTCTCCATGGTTGGCCGTGGCAGCAGCAGCTCAGAGTTCAGCCACGCTGCAGGGTCCCATCCTTGCCCCTGCTGCTGGGACCAGTGCACGCCAGGAGTGACCATGGATCCTGCAGTCTGGAGGACACCTGAACCCTCCTTGCTCCCCACCTCACTGCAATAATCTGAGGTAGGGATTGGCTCCTCTTCTTGGCGTGGGAGGAAGCCCTGCTTGCTGTTTCTCTGGCTTGGATCCATCAGAGGTCTGGGAAGGTCACATTTGAATCTGCAAGCCTGTTGCACAGGAGGGACAGATTTTATCTCTGATGGAGATTTCAGTTTCTGTAGGGAATAACCATTGCCAGAACCCCTGGACAAGGAGTTCTTGGCCTTAACCAAGCTGTGGACTCTGGGGAACACTACAGCAAACTTGGCATCAGTAGCACTGTTCTTCTCATCCGAGCATGGAAAGGAACTGGTTCCATGAAGAGGGGAATCACCAGGAGGCAAATCACTGTGTCCCACTTCCTCTACCATTTTGGGACCACCTTTCTCCTCCACTAATGAAGCAGAAGATTCTTTGTCCCTCAGCTTAGCCCTCTCCAGCTGTCCAGGGAAGGCTTTGCCAGACTGACCAACCCACCCAGCAGTGCTCAGAATCCTGATTGCCATTCTACTTCTGAATCCAAAAGGTTTGCTGCTCCTCTTCTTCTTCCCAAATTTCTTCAAGAGCCATCTGGAGATACCAATTGCACGTGCCACACTCAGCAGTCGAGCTTTCAGCCTTGCTTTCTTGGCAGGTTTTTGGCCAAGCCAGCTGGTGACTTTTCTAAAAGCAGAGCGGGTGTGCAGGTGCTTGGATCCTTCCCCACCATGCACAGGTTCTGTTTCAGAAGGTGCCTCTGCAACCACTTCTTCTGCTTTCTCTTTTTTTGCCTTTGTAGACTGGCCTGAACTCTGTTTAACTTTTCCAATAACTTTTCCAACTTTTTTCTTCTTTCCATGGAGCTGCTTATCAGATGATTTTTTTGTAATCATGGAGCAGCTTGAAGTATTTAACCTTTTCTCTCCAAAACTCTGAGCTGTGTTGGGTTCTCTTTGTTTACTGGGAGTTTCTAGAGTCATGGCTTTTGAACAGATGCTTTCAACATTGTTCAGGTCTGAGCTGGTTCCCAAAGCCATCTGGGCAGGATTTGGTTTCTGGCTTGGTGACAGTTCGGTCTCAGCATTTTTATGTTGGTTTTCCATTCTGAGGGGGATTTGGGATTGAGAAGAACATTTCTTTGGAAGCATCAGTGCTGGTAGGTCCTGCCTGCTGCAGTCTGAACTGTCCCTCTGTCCATTTCCACCCTCTTCACCTTTTTCTGGGATCTCACACTTCCCAGGTTTCTCCTTCAATGTCCTCTGCTGCTTGGAGAGGAAGGAGCCATCTTCCAGCTCTCTGCCTTCATCATTCACCTTCTCTTCCTGTTCATATTTGCTAAGGTGAATGTGGAGTTTTGCTTTCCCAGCAGTTGGGAGTGGTTCAGGTTTGTTTTCTTTTACTTCATCAATGTTCTCTGCAGTGCTGCTCTCCCCACTGCTGTCAGAATTCATGTGTCCATCTTTTGACATATCTTCAACTCCGTCATTTTCTAATATATTTTCTTTGTCTATTTCCTTGTCTATTTCAATATTTTCCCTGTTCTTAACCCTCTTAACTTGGATTCCTGAAGTGCTTAACAGATCATCTGCCTCACTGCTCTCTGCTGGAGCACATTCTGGTTGTCTCAGCATGTTGTCTGGCTTCTTCATCTTCTCCTCTGCTTCCAATCCTGCAAATTCAGTGCCTTCAGCCTCAGATTCAATTTTTCCACCTGTGGTCATCAGCTCCTTTTCAGGTTCCATAGATGCTTCCTTGCTTTCATCATCCAGTTCCTTGCAGCCTTTTCCTTCACCCACAGGAGGATCTTTGAGCACAACTTCTTTCTCACTGTTGCCATCTAACTCAGAAGAGCTGCTCCTCTCCTCAGAAGAGCTGCTCCTCTCCTCACTGCAGGAAGTGCTGCGCACCACAGCCTCCTTTGTAGCCTTTCTGTGGGTTCCATGGCCTTCACTGCTGGAGTCAGAGCAGGAGTTTCCTGAGGTTTCCTGAATATTTTCATCCTCACTTTCAGTGATGACAATCCTGGTAAGATTTTCAGCTTGCTTTTTCCCAGTCCTCTCACCTTTTTCCTGCGCTGTACTGCCTTGGGATTGAGAACCTGATTTCTGCTCAGAAGCCTCCTTGAAGTCCTGGTTCCCTCTGTGCCTTCCCCTGGGGTTCTGTGCCTTTTCTGCCAAGTTCTGTTTCTGAAAAGAGCCTTCAGCACCTTGCTCTGTGATTGCCTTCACAGCCCCCAGCTCAGTGCCAGTTTCACCAGCACCAAGTCTCTTTCCACATCTCTTTTTAAAATTCTGTTTCCTTCTATTTGTGGTGGCTTTTCCCTCCTTGTCACTGCTGTCCTCACTCTCCTGCCCTGATGTCACTTCCCATTGCTTGCAGGCCTTTCCTTTCTTCCCCTTCAACCTGGACTCTCTGTGTTTTCTCCCCAGACCAGATTCACTTTTATAATTTCTCCTGCAGGCTCTTTTTCTCCGGAACAACTTCTTGTGGTCATTCTCTTTGCTTTCCTGAGGCCTCCCCAGCCTCTGGATTTTTAAGAGCTCTTCTCCAAGGCTGTCACCTTGTGCAGGAAGTGACTCTTTGCCCTTCCCTTGGCCTCTGCTCTTACCTTCCCTCTTCCCACAGCAGATCTTTGAGTCTCCTGCAGAGTTTTGCTCACAATTGAGCACCTTCTCCTTCCCACCTTTTTTCTGCCGAGTCTTGGATTGGGCAGGAGGCATTTCCTCAGTGTTCAGGAATATGTGAGGGCTTATCTTGACTCATCTGTGAAAGGAAACATTGTGCATTTTGCTGTGAAATAAATTACAAAAGGAAGCCAGATGCTCCTGAGCACTAATTTGCCTCAGTTCTGTGGAGCCAAATAAACATTTACAGAGCCTTACTTATGCAGTGCCAAACTGACTGCCCTGTTCCAGGTTAATCTCTGGCTTATTTTGTCAAAAATCATGATTTTCTGACTTTCTTCTTTTATTAGAATCATACCATCATAGAATATGATGACCTGGAAGGGACCCACCAGGATCATCCAAGTCTGACTCCTGGGCCTGCACAGGACACCCCAAGAATCCCTCATTAGGCCACGTGTCCATGACTTTGTAGAGCTGAGAAGGGTTTGGACATACCTTAGCTCAAGATAGAATGATTATTTTATTTCAGTTTCTGCTTCTCCACTATTCTTCTTTGTGCTGCAGAAGAGAGGAGCACATCCAGTGATGTATGTGAAATAAACATCAGAAGCAAACCCTGCTGCAGTGTCAGAACATCTCCACTGAGCTGCCCCTGAGTGCCCTGGCACTCCCTGGCACTGTGGGAAATGGTCAGCATCCCAGCTGTTCACCCCTTCATCTCTTTATCTTTCCTCTAATCATATGCATGGAATAAAAGATGTAAAAGTGTCCAAAGGATTGGTCCTGATCTTTCAGGCTGATGCAAAATATCACTTCTGCCCTTTCCAGCTCTCCAGACTCTTTATTTTATGAGTGAACTTTGTGCTGCTTCAGGCATCCTCTGGGGCCCCTGGGAGTGAATGAAGTCCTGATGGCAGAGCCTGGGTTTGGGTCCCCAGCACCAAACACTGCAAGGAAAGGCTCCAAACCACAAAACAGTAAGAGCACAACTGAAAGGAAATGATGGATCAGAGAAAGGAAAACTTGGAGGTGAGTGGATGAGGAGAATGGGACTAAGGGAAAAATCTTACAGCAAGGAAAGCCATCAATCTGCAACGTCTTCCCAAAGAAAACAGATTAAAAGGCTCTTGTTGGGGCTACTTGGGACTATCTTGGAAATTCCATTACCCAGGGATGGACGGGGAACAAACCAGCACATGGAACAGGGAAATTCCATTATATATTTTGTCCTCTCATCTCTTTCTCTGTTAAAGTCTTCTCTCCATTTTCTCCTTTTTCTTTCTCTTTGTTTTTCAGCCAATTCTGTGGATTCTCCACAGGCAGAAGAGAAACTTCCAGCCATTACAAATTTACAAATTCTGTCAGTGGGTAACAGAGGATGGAGCAGTCGAGATTTTGTTACAGATTCCTCCTAACTCCACCAAGTGTTACTTTATTTAAAGGCTGAAATCCAGCATCTGGAAGCCTCCAGTCACTTGTTAGACTATTATGGGATGCTGGCAATGTATTTACCTGTCTGACACTCTGAACCTGCACCCCAGTGGCCATGGTTGCAATGTCTGTACACAAGCTACAAGCCCAAAAGAGCTTTGGCTGAGGTTTCCTGGAACTTCCATCCACAGACATTTCCCTGCCCCAGGGAAGGGGCAAAACCACAGTCAAGATTGCAATTCAGCAAGCTTTAGAAGCTTTAAACCTTTACAGCTGCTATAAAGTCTGACAAGGAATGAGAATTTTTAGCACTTAGTACCTCAGCAAAGATGGAAATTCAGCCACTCTCCATAATATCTTATGACCTGATTGCAGACTGAAAATTGTCCAAGTGTATTTACAAGTTATTAAAATAAATGTTGAAAAAAGGCCATTAAAAAGTGCATTCCAGTACTCTGGGAGCAACTCTGTAAGAAACCACTCAGTGAATCAAAAAGTTTGTCTCACCTCAGTCACTCCAAGGAGGGCAGCAAAACCACATTTGAGATTTCCACAGCTCAGCAAGGATGATGCTCTAACAAAAGCACATTTGGTGTGTGCAAAGCACAGGGGTTTACTGCAAATGTTGGTTCCTTTTCTGTGCCACCTATTTTGTGCTGTTCTGCACCACAGAACAATCTGCAATAGGGAAGAACAGCATCTCCCTTTACCCCAGCTGCAACTCTGATACTGAACCAAAAAGCTGCTGCCCTGAAAGCAGTTACATACAACAATGTGTCCTTAGGGGTCCCTCTAAACTTGCTTTTTTTTGTTCTGGTCTAGAGCTG